AGTATCGAAAGCTTTCCTGTAGTCGACGAAGCAGCAATATAGTCTTTTTATTTTGTGAGAATGTCTTATTAATTTAAGAACGTAAAGAAACAATTGCGTCTGCAGTTCCATAACCAGATCTAAATCCAAATTGTGCATCAGAAATAATTTCATTTGTGTTAGCCCATGCATACAATCGATTGTTCCAAGACAGCTTAATAGACCCCGATAGTTATTGAGGTCATTTTTATCACCTTTTTTACATAAAGGCACGATAGCTGCCTCTGCCCATCATGTAGGAAAATGTCCCTGGTCTAAGATTTTGTGAAACATTGATTTAATAACTGGTAACAAAGTATGTTCTCATCAATGAAAAGTTCGTTTATAATGCCATCTGATCCATGTCCTTTATTTCTTTTTAAGTTTCTGATCGCAGTAAGGATCCCTTCTTCTGTAAATTCATTATCGAGTTCAGGGTATATAACATCTTCATCTGGGTGTTGTTGACCGACACTGTCCAAGTTATCTCCATCACTATAAGACACAAGAATTTTGAAGTAGCTACGAAAATCATCAATATTAAAGTTCGAAGTTTTAACTGACTTCCGCTTGCTTAAATATTTGAAGAATAGTCTTGGATTACGTTTCCTCATATTATCAAACATATCGCCTTCATCTCGCTTATATTCACTCTTTAGGCGTCTTTTCAATGTCGTATATGTCCTCTTTGCATTATGTAAATTCCTGTGTGTTTCGAAATGTTTATCACTGTTTAATACTCTAAGGAATGTTAAATTTACGTTTACAATCTTCATTGAACCATGGCTTGTCTTCCTGTTTAATTAGCTTGCACGCATTTTCCTTCCTGTCCTATTTGGGGATCCGCGGTGGGGTTGTTATCCTTGAATGTTGCCCTGGCGTTGGGTCTCTGACGTTGTTACCTGTCCCCTGCGTTTGGGGTTCCATCTCGGCGATCGTGCATGCAGGACCCCCTCGATATATAGTTTGTCCCTCACTAACATTGCCTTCTTCCTCTCACGTTTAGCTTGTTTTAACACAGGGTATAGTTGCTTTCTGTCACGTTTGGCTTGTTTTAAGACAGGGTATTGTTGCTTTCTGTCACGTCTGGCTTGTTTTAACACAGGGTATTGTTGCCTCCTCTCCCGTTTGGCTTGTTTTAACACAGGGTATAGTTGCTTCCTCTCTCGTTTGGCTTGTTTTAACACAGGGTATAGTTGCTTTCTGTTACGTTTGGCTTGTTTTAACACAGGGTATAGTTGCTTCCTCTCTCGTTTGGCTTGTTTTAACACAGGGTATAGTTGCTTTCTGTCACGTCTGGCTTGTTTTAACACAGGGTATTGTTGCCTCCTGTCACGTTTGGCTTGTTTTAACACAGGGTATAGTTGCTTTCTGTCACGTTTGGCTTGTTTTAACACAGGGTATAGTTGCTTCCTCTCACGTTTGGCTTGTTTTAACACAGGGTATAGTTACTTTCTGTTCTCTGTTATCCCCTTAGGTAATTGTTCTGAAATACCTAGCGTTTCCCCTGAAGCAGGTGACTTGACGACCTGACATACTCCCGACATCTAAAGTCCAGAAAACGCGCTACTATTGTTCTACTTTGGCTGCGTTTGGACACCTGTTCAAATTAAAATGAATACATTCATTGAGCCGTTCACTCAAACTTATTTAAAAGACATTCCAGATTACTTCTTGAAGTAAAATGGATGCTTTAACAGATTTTATATTCTCTTGTAAAATGAACACATTCAGGACCACGCGTTTAAATAAAACCTGTCTTTATTTTAAGGAAAATAGCATACTCTCACAGTCGTTGTATCCTGTATATACTCGAGTATACACCATATAGGTACGAAACGTTATATTTATCTATATATATCATGTAATTATTAAACTCAATATACAAAATAAAATCACAAATTAAATAAATGAGGATGATTTTCAAAAATGATTTTTTATGAAATTAAAACAAAATGAAGGTAGGCTAACAAATATTAATACAATATCGTCCTTCAGGCAGTTGGGGTTCAAACTTTACATTAGATGCAATTCGTACAACGTTTCAATTTAGACAGCTAGCCTGAATGTGCCATTACCTATTAACAGTTATGTACATCATCATCACTGCACGTGCAAACTACGTGTTGTTGTTGGCAGCAAAGTACAGACTCTGTACCTACGTACCGGTAATCCCTCCTGCCATAGCTACAGGTACAATTATTTAGCTGTTGTTTTACGCTTGTTTAGATCTACATGTTTCTCCTCTCGTCTGTGGGGTCAGTTCCCTTATGTCCGAATTACTGGAAATTGAAAGTGTGGTCCAAGAAATAAGGCCGGCAATACCAGGCCCCCTCCCCATCCACAACCCCAACCCCACGTCCTCCGAAGCTGTAGCATTTTAACGCTTCACAGGACCTAAAAAATGTTAGTCAGCAACCGAAAGATATCTCGAAAATAGAGGATATCTTCTGTGTCATTTGCTTTTAGGAATATTGGAGGACAAAAGCAAATTGATATGCTGCCCTGATTGCAAAACTTCTTTTCCCTTCACCATTAGATGTGTGAATTATAAACATAAAGTTGATAAAAACTTAAGGTCAAAGGTCATATAGAACTCAAATACATTGCACAGGTAACGTTGTGACTTACCAAATAAGGAAACGATTACACTTAGACACCCTCCCTAGTAGCGAAGTAGTTTTTCATATATTAATAAGCATTTTCGTACACTGTATATGGGTAAGATTTTTAAGCGATTTTATGGACAACTCGTACACATTTTACACCTTTGTGTGCATACGCTTCACTGGTCATTTGTCTGATGAAGGTGACAGTGTACATATCGTACTAGTCATCGAAACGTCACATAGAAAATTGTATTGGTTGTGTAAAAAGGATTTATTATAATTACGGTTAGCTGCTAAAGAGGCCTTTTGAACCTGTTATGTGTTCATGTATATATTGTTAGTCTAAAATACGACGTTCAACTTGCCCTGTACGCTAAATTTAAACACTTGCCATTTGTATGAATCTTATTGTAACTTTACGTCTTTTGTATGGCAAAGTCAAAGAACAACACGAAGTGTGCAGACGTGTATTGCCCATTTTGATAGTTTTCACTCGTGCTGCGCACTGTTAACCACACGAGTGAAATATATTTGTTACTACGGAAAACACCATTACATTTTCTAAAGCATAAGACTTGAAAATGTAATGCATTAAAAAGGGGCAGGAATCAGAAGCGAAACCCGCTAGAGTTTATGGTAGATTTGCCAGAGGCCACTTGTAATTATATCAACAATAATTTCATCCAGACAACCAGGTATTTTTTATATTTACATATTTTTCTTTTTTAAGACATATTCCTACAAAAACCATTTTCCCTGCCTCAAAATACATTTGAGGCGGCCATTTTGTTTGTTTACATATTCCTACACCTGAAACAGGCAGTTGTAATTATAGTCGAGCAGTTGTAATTATAGCCTATATAATTACACCTGTCCTCTAACACTGTTGTAATGGGACGGCGCGGGGGCAAATGTAAATATTTAAACAATACCTGGTTGTCTGGATGTAATTATTGTTGATATAATTACAAGTGGCCTCGTAGATTTGCCAGAGGCCACTTGTAATTATATCAACAATAATTACATCCAGACAACCAGGTATTTTTTATATTTACATATTTTTCTTTTTTAAGACATATTCCTACAAAAGCCATTTGCCCTGCCTCAAAATACATTTGAGGCGGTCATTTTGTTTGTTTACATATTCCTACACCCGAAACAGGCAGTTGTAATTATTGTCGAGCAGTTGTAATTATAGCCTACATAATTACACTTGCCCTCTAACACTGTTGTAATGGGACGGCGCGGGGCAAATGTAAATATTTGAAAATGAACAAAAAATCGTTGCCTTTGAATGCAGCGAATAGAAGATACCGTTATGATTGGTCAATACCAAAAAGGGATATTTTCACACTGTGAAAGTATCACTTTTGATGTTTGTCACAGTGTGAAAGATATCAGTTTTATCAAGTTAATAGAATCCGATATTTCACTGACAAAAACGTAATAAATCCGTGTATCCTTTTTCATCAGACCAGTATTATGTGTCTTATGAAGTGTCAGATAAGACAGGTTCAGCAATATACTGCTAACAGTTATTGCTATACTGTGTAATCCGACCAATATGTTGTGTCCAATAGAGGGTCGGATTGACAAGTTTATTGTATATACAAATACTGACGGAACAAAGCGAGCCATTCAGGTGTATGGAAAAACTTAATCCTGCCATTTTTTACTTTTTCGTTATTTACAATACTTGAAATACGATAAACGTTATAAAAAATCTCATTAACTTTAATAAATGTATGATCTGATTCTGGATTAAGAAGTTCTAACAGACATCACAGCTGTATGACTTGTTATGAAAATATAATGGCGGATCTGGAGGAAACCTGTTCACTCAAGGTTCAGAACCTAACGAACAGCACACGGTGGTTTCCGCTAACCCTCACTCCAATAAATTGGGAAACCCTCCAAATTGGTCACAGGATCCGTTACCGATATACACGTTGTAGTATTAGTTTTGCTGAAGCAATAAAACGATAAAAAATAATGCACCAAAAAGTCAAAGATACATGTATATGTACAAGAAAACTCATTTTAAACTGCATTTCCATCCATTAACAGGCGATATACGACACCGTAAGGACAACAAAGAGTTTAATACATTTGATAAATAACAAGGTTGCATTGGCAATAATTAGTGTTTTGTCTTTGGGTTGAAATTTCCGTTGATTTTATTTTGCTGAGTAAACTTCGTATGTCTTCACAGCAAGACCATCTTTAATTAGATTTTGTTTAAGCCTAAATTAAGAGGCGGCTATCCCATGTGACTCGGCAATACAACATCAAATTCTACTGGGTTGCTTTTAAATATCCCATCATCAAAATATGTTGTCATGACTTAATGTGTATTTTTGGTATGCCCAACAGGTTTTCCAATCTCTCCATCAGCACGATGGACAACGAAAAGAAGAAAACCGTGTGCTCCCGCCTCGTTCTGGGTGGGATAGTTGTGGGCCTGGTCTGTGTGGGAATTGGCATAGGCATCGGTTACGCCGCGAGGGGTTCAAGTCAAGAGCAGACCCACGTCAACGGCGACGGTCCAGCTAAAGAGGCGTAAGTATTTAATTGTCATTGCATGAAATTCTCCACCAATACTTACATATACAGAGTTACGGCCCTTTGTTAACCCACCGTTTCTTTTGTCCATGGTTCATATGCTCCACTCTGCAATTGTCAAAGTTACTGTGAATGTATATAACTAGGATGACGGAGTGTTCTGCACTTTAATAGGCTCTTGTTCTTATCTTTATACAGAGATATAGCGCTTCGTTTATTTTTATATCAACGTATGTACCTGGAGGTGGTAGACTATGGATTGCTGGTGGTGATGAGCTTTGCGTTTTGTCAAATTGATCGGATATTATAACATATAAAAAAAACATCTCTCTCATAGACAAAACAGTCGCATCACATCAAGAATGATACGATGTTTGAGCCAGTAGACGTTATTTTGCACAAGAGGATGAAAATAACCTAATGATGTCAGAAGTGTGAAAATCTGCGAAATCAAAATTAAATTAAACTGTTGGAATTTAAAATACATTCCATATAAACAAACCGTGGCTTGTCTTTGGCAAGACACGAATCATCGCCTATCAAGATGGTAATGGTTTTACAAAACGAATTATTTGCGATTTAGTTAGATTCGTAGAATTCAATTTATTTTGAAGTACTTTTTAACACAATCGAGCAACTTAAGGATCCTGTACCACTGCCAGAAACCGTACCTACGCATTTAAACCCGTTTTTCAAGCATGGCTGTATAGCTTTGATTTATCAGTTCTGAAAAGGAAACCAAACCTTGCGGGACTTTTATAAGATATAATTAAGATGAAATAAACAAAATATAATCAACAACCGTGTTCTGAGTATAGAAAGTACTGCAGGGCTAGACCGGGGTTCGAACCTATACTTCCGATATCATAGACGCTTTCGCTCTTACCGATAGAGCTACCTGGTAAACGGAACTTTGTTTGCTACCGTTATCCAAAACAAAATTAAGAGGTGGTTACTGTTTATATGAAAACCTTAGTGCAATGAGACAGGGATCATTGAGCGATATAACGTTGTAGTAACAATTTGTTTGTTTGTTTATGTTTAACGGCCCATCGACGGCTGTGGTCATTTAGGGCCATGGTGATTTTTTTTTATTTTGATTTTTTTTAACAAACATGTGAGTATCGACTAGTAACAAGGTATTCTATTCCTTGAGATATTAGTGCATAAAATGTCACAGTTTCATAGGTCAAAATTAGCCGGAAATGTTAATGACTTTAAGTATATATGAAGTGTTTTACAAGTACATATATGTACTGTTCGCATTGAAACATAGGCTATTTTAATAAACTATATACATATATACCTGTCGATGGTATCATTGTGCGCGTGGCAGTCGCTTGCTGCACTTTTCCTGATCAGGTATTGATCACGTATTATAGTTGCGTGGCTACATGTACCCCGGACGGTCAAAATATAAATATCGTGTAATCACGATCATGTGAAAGTCAGTCATCAGTTTCGACACTCGCACATCACGATATACAAGTAACATTAAGACCGGTTATTAAATTATACATTGTATTACTGTAGCCCTTGTCAATACAATACTTGTTTCGAACTTTGTTTGTTCATTGTACCACGCACTTAATCAGTCCTTTAACTCATTCACACATGAAGACACATTTGAACACTTCTAATTCAAAGATCGGAATAGTTAATTATAAAATGTCAGGGGTGAATGAGTGAATACACAATAAGATATGTATATGTGAATATAAAGTGTTACCGTCGATAGGGAAGTACGTTTGTAAGTACCCGTACTTATATAATTATATGTCGGACACTTGGTCACTTTTAGATAAGGCTATTTACATTGTAATGTACTTAAGGTACTTAAGATGTAAAATCGAAAATAATCTTAGAAATTGAATGTTTCTAGAAACAAAAAAATACCGAAATGTCAACTAAACCGTAGCTCGAACATAACAAAGATAAAGCTAGAGCAAAGTATGAACAAAGTAAAATTCACAAAGGGTTCCGGAAGGGTAAGCGTCTTCTCGTTGACGACACCCGCCATGTAAACCTAGAACATGTTTAACATTGTCAAGTTCTCAAAGTGAGAATTGACAAATTGACAAAAAGCGAAAAGCCGAATGAATTATAATTACAAGAACATTGACATTCATATCACACAGGGAAATAGAACATTTCTCAATGAGATCATGTTGGCAACCAGTAAAATATCCCAATGATCTGCATCAACCTGCATATTATGTCAGCGGTATACATCTATCACGGAAAATAGATAATCGGAGCAAACTCTTGAATACTGAGCCAACTGTGACATAGAAGAACTACAATTTGGGAAAACTGGGATGCTACTGTAAAGAAAGAGAATGTTCACGGTCGCAAAATTTATCGTTTATCGTACTTCATAATAGTAAGACGTCAATATTTTAATAAAAGATAGAAAATAAGGCATTTTTATTGTTGGAATAAAGTCACATATTCATAGTACCAGAGAACAACCGAAAACCCTTTGGGAAATTCGTCATATTTGAAATGAGTATCATGCCATGGCCATGACTGGCCCCTTATAATTATCACTTGAACATTCTTCGATTAGAAAAACATCAACGTGTAACAGTTTTTATTTTTGTTTTAGTTTTTGATCGTCTTTCCTTGTGATCTAGCTCGAAAATAGATATCTCACGAAATTGAAGTGGTCTACAGTAAGTCTGTTATCCTGTTTACCAGTCTTTTTTCTTTTGAAGGCAAACTCAAGACGCCATTGAAGTACTGTTAAACAGCCTTGACAGCACAAACATCAAAGAAAATCTCAGGTAAAGTATTATCGTACATCGAATAGACGAAAAAGGAGAGATATAACACTAAAACTTGTGGTCCAATTATAGTATCATGTGGACAACATCGGACCATTTCATGGCATTGAATTCCGTAAAGTGTCACCGGGTCTTTGCCAGTTGCGAAAACCGTATTTTCGAATACAGAATTCCCAATTAGGGGATCCGGACTTTTACTATATATAACGGGATTCAGGGATCAATTCTCATATTGATAACTATTTACCAAATACCACTTTTTAACTAACTGGTTAATCGCATCTCATTCGGAATCTTTATTCACTGTGTCAAGCTATTCGGTTATCATATGTAGAGTAACGAATGACGTCCAGCTATTCGGAATCTTAAGTGTGTTGTACTTTTATGTCTACTAAGTAACGACGTCCATCCTGTGGATGCGTTGGTTAGCGTATTACTTTTTCTTTGCATCTTATTGTCAGGCGATACACCAGTCGACCGCGCATGTCCGGAACAGCTGGCGGTGATGAAATTGTCGACATTATCGCCAAGGAATGGCGTGACAGCGGATTGGATATGGTCCGGATTACGCCGTATGACGTACTGATGTCTTACCCAAACCGCACGAACCCCAACACGGTTAGTCATTGTCGTGTCATTATAAAAATGTTAATTATAATCACTAACAAAATTATCAAAGACAATGATTTCTAAAAGACATATCAACAATATTTATCATATAAATAACACAATACCTTAAATTTAAGAACTGCGTTGTCAAACCTGTTCATGCGACCATCTCCATGAAGCAGCCACATGTGTATATGTTAAGTGACCGCTTGTAATGTTCACCATTGTAGCCATTTTATTGTGAAACCAACCGGTGTTAAAAGGCACCTTGTATTAGGAGACCACCTGTGTTAGGAGACCAGTTTTAATGTTCAACATTGTAATGATTTTATTCTGAACTACACCTGTATTAAGAAACTACCTGTGTAAAGCGATCATCTTTTTCGGACATCGCAAGGATGGTCTCTTTATACAGGTTTGGCTGTAACCTGTGTGTTATCGTGCGTTGTGACGTCCACAGGGAACATTGTGTACACGTCATAGGCTCACAACATAGACCAAACTAATTGTTTCTCCATTTGACTGTTCCGCGGTCAAAGTACCTTCAAAATGTGTAATCATGCATGTTCTGATTGAACATAAAAATGTGTAATCATGCATGCTCTGGTTGAACATAAAAATGTGTAATCATGCATGCTCTGGTTGAACATAAAAATGTCTCTGTTACCTTTCTATTTCTAACTATATTAAAATTGAGCGTATTTGCTGTTCTCTCTGAATATTGTAGGTACAACTGACCGCAAAGGACGGCACTGTAATGTTCGAGGCGGCTACGTTTGAGGCGCCTTTAGACGCAGAAGGTAACAACAGCGAAGTTGTGCCTCCCTTTAACGCGTTTGCCGTGGCAGGCGTTGCCGAGGTAAGCCGAAACATGATTTACTTCAAGATTTCGAAGATGTATTCATACATTCAAACACACTAACGCGTGTGACAGAAAATCACTAGGTTTAACAAAAATACGGCATGGCGGGAACACACGAAAAACTACAGTGGGACAAAGATCCTTAAGCATGCGAAGTTCCGCTATCGGTTTTGTACATACAGTAACTTCTTCTGATTTATTTTGGATAGTACTGAAGAGCAACAGGACCTGGATACTTTTGTTGGCCAGGTGGTTCAGTTGGGTAGACCGACATAGTCATGGATGATTGAAGGTCGAGTGGTCAAATCCTGGTTTAACCACTCAATTTTACTTTCCAAACATGTATTGATACTTATATTTAATTCATTTATTTTCATCTTTAAAAAAAATCATAAAAAAAATCCGAATGTACGGGTTTCCTTCAAGCATTGGAGAAAGAATTGCGATGCATATTTACAGGGTTTTGGCAGTGGTAGGGGGTTCCTTGAATTCGAAGCAGATACAGATCTGTTGACAGCTAGAAATATTCGTTTTTCCTATGCGCTTACAATGTTGTCTATTTTTTTGTATCATATATGCAATTCCACTCTGAAAACGCATTAGACATTTTGCCCAGTTAAACTGACACATTTGGAACGCCTTTCTCACATTAGCAATTAACTTTCGAACAATTACATATTTCCGTCCTATAAGGAATCCTCCGAATAATGTGTCGGTACCGTGTCGGTACCGCCTGAAATGCCAAGCCTTTTTTATTAGACAATTTCAGTTACAAGCTAGTTCATGTTACATGTTTTTACTCTTGATTTTTTTTAAATTATTCATTTCATGGTTCTTTCCTAAATGAAGAATGTACTTGAACAATATTCCTGTCCCTTTACGAACTGCTTCGGAGCCAGAAGTGTGATTACTCTATACAATTGTATTGCTGCGGCAGATGTAAACCTCAGACCTATGAAACATATTATCGCATATTTAGTGAATCACTACACAACGTGATGATACAAGATGTTACCTAGGCAAGGACAATTATTTTTTTGGTTAAAACTCTTCGATTCATTCAATGATCTAAACGACAAATTAATATGGATTTAAATATCATAGCCATGGTTAAGTAACGTAAATAATATGTCCGACGCTGTTGCTCGGTTCCTAAGTTGTGAAATCATTACGACCAGATAACCATAACTTTTATTTTGCAGAAAACATACTATTGATATTAAGAACAACGCATTAAACACAACACCACACTAAACTCTGTATCTGACGTTATGAATTGCACTCGTTTGTTGCGTGGACATATATCTCCAATCGAGAGCTAAACGCAAGAATAGATGTATTCGTGCGCGCAAAACCTTGTGCTATCTGCGATGTCAGGTTGAAACCTATGTGTAGTATTCATTAAGTTGTCGACCTCAAAGTTAAATATTGTATCTGATTTACTCGTTACAGGGGGATCTAGTATACGTGAACTATGGCCGTATCGAGGATTTCGTGTTCCTTGGAGATAACAAATCTCTGTCTGTGGAGGGAAAGATTGTCATCGCCAGATATGGAAAAATCTTCCGTGGAGACAAGGCAAGTAAAAACTTACCAAATACAATGTTTTGTTCTTTACCAAGCACCACAAGTGGTTCATTCACGAACAACTAATAAACTTTTGCTTTTATACGGTCACTTGTGTCTTTATTTAGTTGCGTTCACTGGCTCCTAATAATGTCAATCTATACCGATATCAAAAGATGAGGCCGAATTGTCAACAAAGTCGTAATTCGAACTCCAAACCAATAAAACTAATACATAATATGACCAAAGAAAATAATGACATTGAGACCTCTGAAAAAGCACAAGGAGAATAAGATCAGGTGTTCTTATTTGTTGTAGTTTCCTTTGTTTGGCTTGTTGCATCGATTTCCTAATGTTAAATAAGTGCTTGTATGATTGTATATGTTTCTGTCGGCTAACATAAGGATATACACTCTTACGTTATGTATCAAAACCAAATAATACATCGCTTGTCCAATGATTCGCTGTTGAATATAAAATATCATTCGTGGATTTGGGATGACTTGTTCGTATTTTCATTATATCAATACTGATTTGGTTAAATAAAGTTTGTCAGGTAATGTGTTTTTCTTTCCATTTTTACTACTTACAATATAAACCTCCATTGTATAGAGGCTCCACGAAAATAGTTAAAAGCATATAAATACAAAAAAATATATAAAAGTTTCCCTTTGTAGGTGAAAATAGCCCAGCAGTTTAACGCAACAGGTATCATTATGTACACTGATCCGGCTGATTTTAATATGGGCAACTCAACTTACCCAAACAGCTGGTGGCTCCCCGGGAGTGGGGTCCAGAGGGGGACCACGGGGCCCGACGGGGACATGCTGACCATGTTCTATCCAGCTAAAGGTAATGTCTACCTGTTGTCAACCTGACCTCAAAACGAGATAGAATTGGCGCAATAAATGTCACAATGTGAAAAGAAATGATAACAGAAAACGCAAACAGGATTATTATTATTTCTCTGCTATAAAACATGTTACCTTTGTCTCATAAACGTATGATCTAACTTCAATTAGATGATTGATCCGTCTCCTCTCGAAATTATCATTCACCCCTAAAATATCATAATTAACTATTCCAATCTTTGAATTGGAGGAGTTCAAATGTGTCTCCAGGGGTGAATGGGTTAACAGAATTATTTTTTTCTAACTTGAGGCTGTGACAGAAAAATCTTCAGCCCAAGGGTAGATTTATTTGGTTTCCTAAACAAATTATTGCGAGACTTCATGTGCGTATTTGCAAACTTTATAGTATGAGGGACATGAACAGTCATGATATATTGTTTTATAGGACTAGTTCTATGACTTGTTGAGATATTAGGAATCCGTTAAAACTTTACATAGTTTCTATATCATAATCGAGATCATCACGGCGGTACATTAATACCACGAATTCGCTTGTTCAGTTGCTATATAAGTACATTACCGTTTCACTTTGAGGACAGGAATCGCTTCTTTAGTTCTTTTGTAGTTCTTATGAAGATTATCTTTAAATATGGTAAATATGGCACATCTTTCTTTGAAGATTATACCTACCGCATTCCTAAAAGTGAAAGTTGGATAAGCGATTCTACGATTCCTGCGCAGCCTATTGGCTATGGAGACGCACAGCAGTTTTTGAGGTGAGAACGATTAAATCATTGACATACCATGCATAAAGTTGGTTTTTTTTTTAAATAATGAATTAAAAAAAAAAAGCTAATGTAATTGCTCTTGTTAGCGCGAATGGAAGCCCGCAGAGGGTCGTAATGTATAAGGCGAAATGAGTACTTGAGGAAACCAACTTTTCACGTCCAATCGGGGAATCGTACCCCGGTCGTCTATAGGTAAAAATGCGAATATCTACTGCGCCATCATTACACCCATATATTTTGAATCAAGCTAGAATTTAAGAGCAGATGGCTATGATGCTGACGCGTAAATTAACGTTTGATATTGCTTCACACCAGCAGTACTTGCGATTAACGTCATAATTTGACGACACGAAGAGAGTGTGCTTAGTAATTCGAACTGATAAAGTTTGCCGGAAATGACGTCATAAAAGTGAATGAGGAAGTGGAAATCCTCAGTCGATCAGATTGTAGGACGTAACGTATAGAATGACTTAGGCATTTGTGATATCATCCTCTTACGAAGTATTTCAATGGCGATATGAAAAAGATTTAAAATAACACTGAAACGGAAAATGTTTTACCTATTTAAATTTTTCGCGTAATATGTACAGGTATACAAATGTATGAATATCTGGAATATTAAATTAAATATTTGTGCTTCTTGATCTAATCGAATAAACATCTGCGATACCAATGAATTTGAAATAATAAGGTTAAGGTCTCCTCGTAATGAAAAGCCTTGAGCGAACTCTTCCTTTTTTGTTCTTTGTTTCTATAAAGCTGACACAACTTTGAAGCTGTCGGCATTCATAATTAATCCCGTATAATGTTCTTTTCAAAAATTTGTGTATTTTGCCTTTGCTCGTACAGAAATTATTGTACTGCTCTTCATGGTATTTAAAGTGTACATTCCATCCTCTTCAAATTATCTGATCCAACGCTCTAGATTTAAACGGTCGTTCCTTTAAGATATTGAATCCTTTTCCACGAATGATTTAATAGCTTTACTCAAAATTACAATGTCAATTTAAACAGATTAATCTGGAGGTGAAGATAATTTTCAACGTAACGACCTCTCTTTACCAGTGCGGACTGGCTAATGTTTCCACGATATTACTGATAGTGCACGATTCATACGTGCATACTATTCCACGTGATAGTAAGAGCATCCCATAATACTGGGCGAAACGTGACATGTGGCCTAAATAATCTTTGCATTGTATTAACCTGTGGTTTCGAAGGTGATCTTCCGCGCTGTCCCAACTAATACACTTCGTGTTTAAAATGAACTCTGTATCGGATAAGCCAGTTTGACAGGGGACATCCCCCTCTGTTACAGCAAGATTTATACCACGTTGACGAAGTACTTCATCATTCATAAATAGATCACGACCTTCCTGTGTTGTCATTATTTGACCTATATCCACTTATGACGAACAATTGACTGTGTCCGTATCAGTAACTATTAAGTCAACACAAGGAAGACCCTTGTAGTGTTGAAGATATTCGTCTTATTCATCCCGTCACATATATTGTACAAGGCGACAATATGGGGGCTCCATGCTTAACATACGCATCTTCTTGGAGAATTAGGGAAGGGGGGGGGGGCGCATTTAAGAGAGCAAATATGATCTGTTGCATTTATGGCAAATCTTTTGATATTATCCTTGCCCTTTGTTTCCATATTGATTTTTATTTAGTAATGTCTATATTTACATCAGTTGCCGTATTACTTCAATGTGTCCGATGAAATACACAACTCGTTATGGTACATATTATGACGCAGAGGTGCATATATACATGTACATTCACCGACTTTTGTTGTTTAGTGTAAAAGTAATGTTACGACCGGATTAACAACACAGATAACATGTAATAGACTGCTTCAGTAAAGCATTGCATAGTGTTAACGATGGCCGAAACTAGTACAGTACTTAATGTGACAAAACTATTGTCACCAAATATGGCGACACTTTCAAATTATTTGTGTAATTTAACATCAATGTATACAATAAAGTCTTTTTTATTATTGAATGGCCTTGTAGTTGATGATATTATAATGTTTATCAGAAGTTAATAGTTTCAATAGAATACCAAGCAGAACCATTGACCCATTTATCAGCCAAATAATCTACTACATGTTTTTCAAAACTATTTTCAACCTACAATAGAATACATCTTTAAATGTCATCACTTTGTGGCAATTTCAAATTGTACCCATAATACTCCAACGCCGAACACCGCATGGTTTTTTGAAATGTGCTTATATGTTAGAACTAAGCGGAGTGTTCTCAACATTGAAAACAATCCTAATTTATATTTGTAGGTTGTCTGGCTCAACTCGTCATAGATAAGGTTTTAGATCAATATTATGATTGAAACGCCGCATACTTGTCTTTTATAAAACGCTTCCTCTTTTTAGACCCTAAAATGAAATTTTATTAAATATCTTTGACTGTATATAATGATACTCTTTTCGTCACCTAGATTTATTACATATATATATATCGATTGAATGACTTTTGTTACAATTTCATCTAAACATGAACATTGAAAAAATACTATTTAATCCGTATATTTACATTCTAAATGTCGGAACGATGAACAGAATTAGGTGAAAGACAAGACGAGGTTTCTAAGAAAGATGACATTAGTAAAGTTCAGTCAGCCATATTTTCAGTGAAGAGAGGATTACATTGAACGGACAACAAAAACACAGCACATGCATGACTCTAACCACTAACATACAGTCCGTCGGATGGGACTATAAATGGTGGCCCGTGTGAGAACTGTCCAATCTCGCACGGAAAAGATCCCTCTGAGTTTTTTGAAAAAGAGTAGGCGCGTAAACGCCGACACAGAGGATAGTGTAAGCTTTGTTTCAAATTTTCGGCCAATAGAACTAGGGTCTCTTTATTAAGACATTTAGAAAGACTTCTAATTGTATATAAAAACCAACATTCATAGAATAGGCAGGGGCTAGTGTAGCTTGCGGCGGCACAGTACCTCACTTCCGGTCCAGCCTTGGTGATACTATACGACGAGTGTTAGGTTAAGGCATTATTATGCATAGAATCAGTCTTACAAAAACTAGACTTTTACAGTTAATACATATAGGATAGACGGCTCCTTCTTTAACCTATCCCCCTCTTCTACTCTTCACTCCATACTTTATCCCTTCTACTCATTTTCCTTTCTTTTCTTCGTCTGCTGGATAACCGAGCTACTCGGTAGTGAAGCGGACGTAAAACCTATCAATCAATCAATCAATCAATCATTCTAAATGTTTAGTTCTTATTGAACTTAATACATATATTCTCTTGTATTTTCGAAACTAAAGTGTACAAAGCGTTCATGGAACAGCGTAACGTCACCGAAATTCTCGTTTCTGATTGTTTTCTCTTATTAATCGAGACGGGAGGAGATGCTTCAAATGACGCTGATCAAATTGCGTTCATACCTCTATGAACGCAATTTCGTCTGGTAATGCTTGTAGAGGAACGTGCAGGGGAAATGAAAATATACAATGTTGTTTGCGATTTGATTTTGAATTTTATCATCATTTGGTGTTATCTGTGAAACGCAATACCTTAACTTAAACGTAATAATCTTATATAATGTTTATTCATGTTGTTTTACCTTCGTCTTATATCTGGTTTTAGTGCTATGAAAGGAGAAGAGGTTCCCGTATCGTGGAGAGGCAAACTACCTATCAAGTATAGGTTCGGACCAGGTTTTACAAACACTAGTTTGTAAGTATGACCTTTCTTCCTTCAACAATTTTCAAAGAAAGAATAAAAGATTAGGAAAACTTCTATGCGCTGCATTATAAATCCTTTGTTCTTCAAATATATGTAATGTATCTTTCTGCAGTTCGTAAGAAATGAAAATCATCTTAATTCAGTAAGTAAAAAGGAACATTTATCTTATTGCAGTAGGCTAAAAATAAATACTCATTTTAATACAGTAAGTAAAAAGTAAAATTCCTCTTACTGCAGTAAATAAGAAATAAAGTGTATCTTACTGCACTAGGTAAAAAGAAAAAATCATCTAACTGCAATGTCATTTTCAATTGACATGCGTGAAAATTAAGGGCTGCCTCTATGTCCACAGATAGGAACCATAGATGCATTATGTATTCAATGACTATCATAGTCTAGTGATTTTCAACAAGCTCGAACAACACTTTATTATAATAAGAAATAAGTTCGTTTGAAATACATCTCTTACTAGTTTTCTTATATAAACGTGGAAACGTTTCTTGCAAGTTGAAATCTTAGGCCGACTGCATGTCTTAAATGGTGATTAATGTGGAGACCCTATACACAATCGGAGGTGATTAATGTGGAGACCCCATACACAATCGGAGGTGATTAATGTGGAGACCCCATATACAATCGGGGGGTTTCTTCTCTGTTTTTACAAAGAGAACATCGGAGAGACCAAAACCGACCTGCTCCCCCATCAGAAGAACACTTGGTATCTGTCTTTCCTTTTCTTACCAACTGTTACCTTAGGGTGGTATCTTCAGGTTCCCAAGGATGTCAAACCTCAAACACACGAACATAACTATTTTATTTCAACTTTTTACTGTTTCAACAGGAGCGCACGTCTCACCGTTAATAACTTCGAGGAGGTGAAGACAGTGAGAAATGTGATTGGATACATACGAGGGGAGGTAGAACCAGGTACCGTATATTATCTCAATGCTGATATAGGTTTTGATGGCCAAATATAGCTGATTGATTGATTTATGTTCTTTTAACCCACTTGGAAAGCGTTGAAAAAATGACAATGGCAATATAGTAGACGAACCGAATATATTCAAGATTGCGAACTTTCTATTGATAAAAGTTTTGATTGCCAATTATAGTTGATTGATTGATCTATGTTGTGTTAATCCATTCGGAAAGTGTTAAGAAGATGACAATGACAATATAGTAGACGAACCAAAAAAAATTCAGATGCCGAACTTTCTATTAGTTCAACTCCTGAAAACGCATAAGATACACAGAAACTATAGATTCGACATTTGGACGCACTTCATACACCCATGCAATCACTTCATTTCTCATAGACATCATATGGGACTAGGTAGGATTTTAGGTAATAGATTAAATGGAGAATCGTGAATAAATATATTGGTATTTTGAAACAAAAAGTGTAGTGTTTTGCTTAAAAGATACAAAATTTATGATTTAGCGTGATATTTTGTTTGTTAGACCGGTATGTGATGTTGGGGAACCATCATGATTCCTGGGTGTTTGGGGCTATAGATCCCCTCTCCGGGTCAGCGGCTCTCACAGAAATCATCCGGGTCTTTGGAAATCTTCTTACGCAAGGTAAGCTCCTTTCCACTAAATGAAATGACGTCATGCCATTTTTTAATGACAGCATACCATATCATACTTGCCATTTTTTTGAATTTCCATGAGGGAGATTCTGCATGCTGAAAATCAAATCCAGCATAAATGTGTGTTTATACCCCTTTGAGACAAAATAACCCTTTAAAAAACATACTTAGGGTTGTTCTTTTAGATGAAATAATAAAAATAGAAAAATATTCACTTATGTAATATGCTAACCTTAAGGGTAAAAAATCGGGAGTTTTCCTCCTTAATAGGGAGATTGGTAAATTTGCCATACATAATGATATCAATCTATATACTATGACGACCTTAGATTATTAAGTTACATATCATACTTGCTTTGCCAAGGCATATGCTCATCTTCTGACGATATCGAAGGCGCGATGCCCAGTCATTTCAATGTATACTTAAATATGACAATGCCCTGTCGCTTATGTCGTTTGCTACTTTTTATTCTGCCAACCTATTTCATTGTCCTGATTTATTTTTCCCATAACATTTCAATAACAACATCCTCAAAATATCGCCAAACGCATTTTATAATGCCTAATTGGGCACTCTACATTTCGATTATGAAGGACTAGAAAAAGAGCCATGATAGATTCTACTATAGTCATAATATGCTGTATGTATCTTAACTTGAATTAAGTCATGGTTCGGACATTATGCTTACCACTACACGTGAAACATATTACTTGCATGTTTGTAGGGTTAAGGCCCCGCCGAACACTGGTGTTCGGGTCATGGGGAGCGGAGGAGCATGGTCTGATAGGATCTACAGAGTGGGTAGAGGTAAGCTGACATTGTGATCCTCCTATTTATTCTTGATTTTGACTAAAATACAATATATGCAGTTTATTCCTGGTCAAAATGAACACTGAAGATAATGCATAGTGAATTAAATAATACACGTTAGTATCAAATAGCATTTGCTAAATGCTATTAAATTCTTTCATATATTATAAGGGTCGATTTATTCAGGTCAACCAGAGACTGTACCGAATGTTTTACCAATTTATCATCCACGGAAACAGAATTATTTATTCAACTACTATAAAGAATTTTTCTCACCTATCTAATATCAAAATAAAAAATTTCACTCTTTCAACCCTCAACAACGGTCGCCATCTTGCAGTTTCCTTTACTATATTTTAATGATTACACTTAAACTGTCAAACTGTTCCTCGCAGAAAGCTCCCCGGAGTTACTCCCCTTTGTAACAGTATTCTTATGATTTGTGATCAGCCCTGGCGAGCATTGATATCCTACCAGGACAAAGGTTATCTATTGCATCATGTACATGTAACAAAATAATGTCTTACTATAAAACGGTTCAAATCGAATGAACAACAGGCAAATGATACAATTTCATTAGAGAAAAGGAACTATTCCTTTTTCGTTCATGTATATTTCTAAGACTGAATTAATATTTCTCTCAGGAACACATGAAAGTGTTGTACGAACGCACCGTTGCCTACCTTAATGTTGACTATGCCTGCGACTACCCTTACACTCTAGTAGCAGGTTCCAGTCCACTGCTTCAGGATTCATTGTATCAGTCAGCCAAAAAGGTAAGTCAAATTGTGTCAACATTTCCAAAAGAAAACTATGATATTCTTGTACATTAGTCATTTCATCTTTGATACTCCAGGGTTAACGCTCACTGTCGCTCTCTGCATCCTTTCAATAAATGACGGCACGCGGCTAGGTATTTGACTGTTCTCGGGTAATAAAAAACTTGAATAATCGCGAGTCTGATACCTGTCCTTGGTATATTACAGAGGAGAGACACCTGACTTCAAAGATAGTCTATTTTACCGTTACGCGACCGAGAGGTTCATTTGATGTGCGTTTAAGGATCAAACTAATCTGCTTGTCGCATCAGCAATGTGGTCACACTGAGCCGTCGATTTTGCATTGACATATTCCGGTGGTGTAGAGAGCATAAATGAGCATAGCCCCTTTTGGAGTATTGAGGATATGGTCATTTACACATTGAAACCTTTTGAGGAAGCATACTTAATCGAATGTTGTGAAATAAATATTATCATTACAATCGACCAATGATTTAATACATATTACACAACGTCAACACAGCATTAAAGTCTCACATTACGTTATTTCTAATTCTAGTTTAGAATACATAAACCAGTATTTAGGAGCCCCGTTCCACTGCCAAAACCAGTAAATAGGCACTAGAAACCGATTTTCCGGGCATTGGTATAACTTCATACTTTGCGGGACTTTATGAAAAATAAATGAGATTTATTAAACAAGCAAAATCTCAACAACAGCATTCTGCTTGTAAAAACAACATGGGGTCTAGACCGGGATTCGAACCCAGAAGAACTTCATATTGTTACACTATCGTCTAACCAGCTACTGTAAGCGGCAGTGTCCTGGTCCAGCTGTACTATTCCGTCTTTGCATATTGCAGAGTTATCTTCTCTTGTGAGCAGGTATTGATTGTTACGTCATTGGTTTGTGTGAAAAAATTACGTCGTTTTCTCAAAAATTGATGACGTTACTCTCACAAACCAATGACGTAACAATCAATACCTGCTCACAAGAGAAGATAACTCTGCAATATGCAAAGATGGAATAAGTATATCCACAAACACAATAACACAGCTCTATGGGACAGGGATCCATAAAACCCGATGTCTTATTAAAACATATTTTACACAAAAATGTAAACATATTCGAATTTTATTAAGGTACCAAATCCAGAAAAGAACAGCCCGTATAAGACATTGTACGATGCATGGAACGTTCGTTTGCCGAACAGTGACAAAACTGAACCAAGGTAGGTAACTCTAACATCGTTTACGAAAGAGTATTTTATCACGTGTTATCGCTTTGAAATAAAACCCAGTTTGAATTATAACACTTAAAAGAAATCGTAAAATTTAACTAAAACGGGTTTCCGAACATAGCCATATAATATGGGAATCGCTATATATCCGTTCGTCCGTCCATCTATCCTTGATCTTTGCAAGGGCAACTCCTCCAAAACCACGTGTTGGGTTTGTTGTAACTTTGACAATAAAAGTACACTGTTTGTAGGTATTCATGAAGAAGGCAATTTGCTATTCGACTATTTTTTCTTGAGAAATGGCGCTTAAAACTTTGTTTCCCAGACTTTGTGACCCAGAGATCTGCAATTCGTTCTTAACGGTGTGTTGGACGTTGGTGTCACTTAGAACGGTAAAACTGCATCCTATGTCAATGTGCGTGATTCGACTATTTTTCTTGCAGGGGTGTATCTTTGTAAGCTCGCTCACGATTTATGTTGTTAAACATTGATATATATACTAACTTATATTGAACACAGTTCTATTGACATACAATGATGACTAGCTCATATCTTCAATCAGTTTAAACGTATTCGGCGTCATCTGTTCATGCATGAATGAACTTTGCCCAATAATATGTTAATCTACCGATGTTTATGTTGTATTATTCTTTTAATGATATAAGTGTACAGAACTTGATTTTGAATCGAGTTTACTTTGTACTGTTTTTCCAAAATGTCACCTGTAATCTAATCATTATTATTGTTGTTCTCAGCGTTTATTACAGCCTTGGATCTGGAAGCGATATGGCGACTTTTTACCAACGTGCAGGCGTCCCGAGTGTGGACATGTGGTTCACGTATGACGAAGTAAGTGGTTTATTAACCTAAGCATGCTTTACATTGGGAAACAAGTAAATATTATCTAAATCCGCATATCAAAATTAGTTTGCATTAAAAAGGTGGTATTTTTCATGTCTTTAATTCTTTTATATGTTGCTCTGCAAATGTGTCATCATCATTTCCCATTGATTCATCATTTTTTTGAACGCCACTTGATGTTAGACAATGGAAGACAACTGTTAGAATAAAACATTTTGATAACGTTAGGCTTTTACGGGAATATCGTTAGCCCTGACGTCAAAGACTCTTCAATACCGAAACTAAAAACGGTTGACCTATAAAAAGATCATTAATAACAAACAGAAAACTAGCGCAATGAATATAAGACAAAAAAGACATTTAAGACATGTAGTTTAAAGCAAGTTCGAAAATTTCATTTCAACTCAACCACAGTTGTTTTACGTAAGAAAACGTGTATTATACATCGTCCAGTATCGTTGTACATTGTTAACACAGTATAGAAACGAATGCATTGTCTTAAAATAATTTCCAAACTTTTTGTTCATTTTGTTGTTCCAGAACAGATGGGATATCCTGTCTTACCCAACGTACCATTCTGCCTACGAGACGTTTGAGATGTTCTCAAGATTCATCGACCCCAACTTCAACTACACACTAGCGATGGCTCAAATGTGGTCCGTCATGGCGTGGTAAGTTCTGTATTCACGAAAAAGATATCACTTTTAGAACAACTCACAACATGTTTTTCAATATACGAATAAGCATATGTAAATATTTATTGTTCGCGTGTACCTTGTTTCGCTACTTATGCCTTTAGCAATAGAAAAGATACACTTTATATATTGACAGTAAAACATGATGATTATAATCCTGATTTGAATTTGGGAAACGGTCTCCTTGCGAATTGATACGAAAATTGATCTGTTGAGAACATGCTTGTATAAACAAGTGAAAAATATTTGAGCCTTCTGAATATCATTGTAACACTCACGTTATACAGGCACTCTATTAGCTACCAATTTCCAGTTCTTTAATATCTAGACCGTTACACAGGAAAATCATGGTCGGATTTTTCTGTTTTTAATATACTTAACTGTGATTTCATACAACTAAATATTGGTGGCGTATATAAACAAAGTCGGCGGGAAAAGTAAGATCAAAGAGGATTATTCACTTTAATATTTGTAAAGTATTGTTTTTAATCCAGGGACCTTTCTAATGTGGAACTTCTGCCATTCGATGCTACTCGGTATGCCACTGCTATACAAAATTTCGTCGCCAGTCTTAAAAAGGATTTCGGCGTCGTATGGCACCAGCAGAACGTCAATATAGGTGATTAATATAAAATGAATTTGAAAACATCATTAGAAATTATACGTTTTCAAAAATATATCTGTCGGATTTAAAAGCGCATGTTATAATCGTTATGCGTTTAAAAACATTTCACTAAAGTGAAATTGTACAGAAAAAAACAAAACAAGAGAGTACCAAAGATAAACGATGCTAACTCTTTATACATTATTAATTAGACAAAAGAGAAGCGGGCGATTTATACCCTGGTTATCGATTTCTTCATCAATTATCGATTTATACTCGATTTATCGATTGTCCGAAATATGTTCCAATTTTCTATTAACTTTCATGCAATTTCAAATGCAAAATACATTATTTTCAACCCTGTCTTACCCCCACACACCCACCCACCCTTTTTTAACCGTATGTCTCAAAATGATTATGGCGGGTTGGTATCTACCTCTTTACAGCTTCATTTTTGCCTTATTTCCTTATATGTCCTTTAAATGAATTATTTTTAAATATGCTATTATATATAAACATACAGATGCCCTAGATTCCGCAGTAAGGAATCTTACTACCAGCACAAATACCTTCAAGAACAAGATAAACTCACTGGCAGATAGAAGGTACGTTACACGGTTTTATTTAGAAACTTTTGGTAGCATTGGTGTTATTTACAATGAATTATATAACGTTTTGATCGCTGGAACATGAATTTAATACGCAATTTATCGTTAAATTTAAGTTTGTTGATTACATTTCAGTTTGATTGGTTTGAACACAGTTGGCTCTATAAATTTGATGTCCTTAAATATGGGGTTTGGTTTTAACTTCTAAATATGATAGAACCACCGTAGAGCTCCTAAACAGTATACATGACAGTTCAAACGCAGTATTCGACTTGTTGGTAATACTTTGATAAACTTTTATTTACACATTGCCATATTTTAACTTTTTGGTAATAGTTAAACAACTTTTCTGTAATACTTAGTTATTTACATTATACCTTACTTTAACCTTTTTTGTAATACTTTATTGCTTACATAATATCATATATTTACCTTTTTGCAATACTTTTATCAATACAGTCCGCTTTCTATCCGAATGCTAAATGACAAAATGATCCAGTTCGAGCGAGCATTCATTGATCCAGAGGGGCTTCCTGACAGGCGAATATATAAGTAGGTATATGCTTATCTTTCATGACAGTGAATATATAGTAGATATTGTATTATAATTTATGCCCCTGCACTCATCACAAGAAAAACTTTGACAACAATATAAATGGGAATGGCCAGCAGATTGGTGACATTGAATTTATTGATATCAATAGAGCCACACTAGTATGGAAAATTATATGAAAAGTTGAATAACCCAGTAGCTGCCACCACACACGTATGGCAGCCACTACTACAAACTATAACAGCTAGGCCAAGTGGGATTGCCAAAAAACGCCACAAAGACCTTCATGAGGACTACTCATGATTGTCTTCTCCACTGAAGGCTAGGCGAAACAGCAAATACTACAGAAAAAAAGTTGAGGAACGGCCAAGGGAAGTACAAATCAACACGGACACTTGTTTAAGTTTATATATATATATAATACCTTCTGACATCCATATACATAAACCAACATCACCTGATCACACTCCAAACAAATCAAGGTAAAAAAAATCATTACTGATACTTACGGTTCCTCGTCGATAACGTGATCGGCTCAAGCAAACCAGTTCACAACACTCAATATATTGTTATATGGAATAGTAATACACTGTATACCACCTACTGGTAGCATAATAAAGTCATTATCATGGGTGGTTAGTATGAAAATACTGACGAAGAAGTTGAGAACGATTTGTTTTCCATTTCGGACAAAGGTATCCACCCGAAGGTGATCCGCGTAAGATCGGGTGGCGCAGTGGATAGCGCACTTGCCTTTCACCAAGGCGTCCGGGGTTCGATTCCCCGGTCGGTCGTGAACAGGTATGGGGTCACCTGCCCGATCACGTGGGTTTACTCCGGTTACTCTGGTTTCCTCCCACATTAACACAACCACCTTCTCCCCCGCGCGCTAACATCCGAGCTTGTTTTTATAACTGTTGTAAAATAATAAAGTAAAAATAGTTTTGTCCTACACAAATAATTGTTAATACTGTTGGGACGACAACACCGTTTTATGTATAAATATACATATGGAGAAGCCAATAAAGATGATATTGCCTTAAAAATACCTTTCTCAATAGATTTAAGGTTCATAGTATTCCTCACACACGCGATCTCAAGTAAACTCTTCGAATACATATTTTAAAAACTATACGTTGGTGTCCCTAATCCTATCCTTTCTTCTGTTGCTGTAACCCATCTTTAACATCGTATATATGTATATATATAAAAAATGTTTTAGGCTATTACGTGACACATTAATTTTGTATACATATTTATCTGTTACGGAAAGGAAGTAAGTAAGCTGTAATAGCTTTTGTCCAATTCATTTGTCTTTTGTTGCAATAAAATTGATTTAAACTAAGTATTCTTCCGCGGACATTTTCTGTTTACTTACGTTTTTCACAGATATGGTATTTAGTTGGGGGGTTTAATGGAAAATAGGTAGTAATATAAAATGAAAAACAGTTATCGCACTATGTTTTCAGGGTTTTGCGGTGCAAGCGATGAGAAAATTGTTCTCATGACAAACTCTGATTACAAAGTGTAGTGATCTAAAAATATAAGCAGAGACCGCTACAGACATGGAATAGAAAGAAATGTATGGGCAGACTAAAAAATACACTACAAATATATTCATAAATATCTAGGGCGACACGGTATTGTTTGGTATTAGTTAAGATCACCATTCCATTGGGTTTCGATTTCTCCTTAAACTGGTTTATATATACTTGCTTAGGTGATTAACATTTCATATTCCTTGTCTCATTATCTATCTAACTTATTTTTCATTTCAGACACGTTATGTTCGCACCCAGCCTGTATGATAGCTATTCCGACAACAGTTTCCCTGGAGTTGTAGATACCATGCATGACATTCAGTTAAATAACCGAACAGATAAATGGGGTTTACTGAAACAACAGGTTTCAGTTGCCACCTACACAATCCAATCAGCAGCTAACACATTGGAGGATATAGGGCTGTGAAATGCACACCTTTTTACTTATTCATGTAAATATAGAAAGGATCAAATTTTGTTTTATCCCCCGCTTTCGAAACGGGAAATTTAATTTGGGTTTGACCGGCTGTCGGTCTATCAGTCTGTCACGCTTCGTTTCCGTGCAAAAACTGCAACAAATGTTAACCGATTTTCTTCAAACTCCGGCCAAGTATGATGACCACTTTCACTTAATACTTCTGTATAAGGCTTTTTCCTTCTTCGAGTTATACATTATGTCTCAACAGCATGATACTCCCATGTTTAAACCTAACCTCAATAATGTTTACCTACAATATGTCCTGCAAGCGGGGGATATAAATTCCACGAATTTGCTTGTTGACCATGGAATTTAATTATGGTTTTAAAATTTAACTACAATGATATGTGCATACTGACAATGTGTATTGTTTATATAGATAAAGTATACGACAAGCGATGATTGGTTATGATGTAGGTAGAAACAAAGTTTATTCTTAAATACAATGAACAAGCTACAGCAAGTATATCATTTTTGATATATAAAGATTTTTGGAATATATCAATAAGATTTTCGAGAGCATATCGTTTACAAATATGTGTGTTTATGTTATATAAAAAATATATTGGGCGGTTAAGAAGACATCAGCATACTTATGAGATTTGGGGAGATTATTATATAAAACATGACTTTTAATAATTTAAAATATATCCATATCTTGTACGAGATTTATTAAAGAATATATATCATTTACGATTTCAATTTCGAGAATCTGAATATATCGGTACAATGTAGGAGATTTCGCAATTATAGTACATTTAAGAAAATATTCGTCGCGATTTGAAATATATTTATATAATGTTTGAGATTTATATTGAGGAATAAACTTTCGACATTTGAAATATACTATGACAAAGCATCATCAAGTGCTAATATCCGTGTCTCTTAAAGCATAACGCCTTAACATTAAAAGTTAAATTTTAAAGCAATTCAATGTCATTCCATGCTGTGTTTGCTTATAAAGAGTTGGTTGAGAAAACCTATCATATTTGGAATTAAAACTGATACCTGATCGATGAATTGATTGCATTTTACGAGTTCAGTAACCTAAATTACTAATTTGGAAAAGAAATATAGGATATACAGATTTAAACAAATAATCATCCGTATCACTTATGTGCGATTTACTGCATACGAACATTTTGTTAGCGGTATTTTAATTTGACCGCTAATTTTATTGAAATTTCTGCATATATCATGAGTGTACCGATTCATCAATACGTTAATATGTTAAAATTTGAGAATACGCTAGAATACGTACTCTTACAGCAGATGTTTTAAATGATTTAATACCCTCTAAGTAAATATTATTGATGATTTCATGGAATTTTATTATCGTGTTTTCAATATTAAGTATTTTACTATAATCAAGCAAATAGGATTAATAAAGTGTAATAATTTAACTGCTTTTAAACAAACGGAACACTGGCCTTATATAGTTGAAACATTATAAATAACATTTTATTGATTTCTAATTTGATAACAGATATATCTCGCTCTTTTGGCAGATTTCACTGATTGTCAATTATTCGTGCTGGTCCATTGTGAAAATGTAGACAAATTATGTGATCCTCGATATTTGATAACCAACGACAGTTAATATATTCTCTATATGTATATAGATATATCTTCATATATGTTAGTTAAATAACCAGTCATCCAATGTAAATTGTGATTTATGCATAAATGCATGTTATCATGCTATAATCATATCATTTATAGAAGAACCGATGAGCACTTCGAAATTGTTTCTATTGTTTACTGCTAAACGATGCGTATGTTAAGTTTGATTTTAAATGCAAAAACCTAACTTGTTGTCACTGTAGTACATTCATAGAAATAGTTCGTTCCATATTCATCAAAATGACGTCATGAGGAATATTGTCATTTAATTCACATTACATTGACACATGACTGTGATTGACTGATACTATCTTTTTGTGTTATGTTTGAAATATACTGTAATCAATCGAGTACAGGTAAGCGTTTCAAACCTAAAAGAATAACAGTTTAGTCTGTTCCCTTCAATGAAGTTCGGTACATGATATCGAATGCATCTTTGTAAATATTTTTAAGATTTTATAATAATTTATATTTATGTATATAATTCAGGTCCAAAATTCGTTGATTGAATTTTGATATTGTTAATGCCATGTTTCCCTATGATTCAATTTCTAGTTTCATTGTACATTTGTGTTTAAGTATAATAAGAATCATATTGTATTGTTCCATCATTATGTTATCGTCGTGTCTGTGCAAAATGTTGTTATAGATGTAAGGGGAGCGTACTCTAATTAGCTTAAACATTTTGTTTTGCCGTTTTGTTCATGAGAGGTTATTTTTACCCTTAAGATCCGATTCGCATTGAATTGACTTTGAATAAAAATGCGCTATTTACACAAACATTAAAAAGGCGAACCGGGACAAAAATGTGGAACTCTTCAATGTCTCAGATATAAAGATTATACATTGGTCTTCATAAAAGTCCAGCTTTTAGATTTACTGGAATTGTTTTACTAATCAATGATCTCAACAATTAAATGCCCTTGTCATCCAAATCTTATTCTCATTTTATTTTTTAGGTGTGATATCTCAAGTATATGCAATTTCGATTAAAATTCATTGGATAGAAAACCAAAAGCCTCCTATATTTGTTTTTTATATCGTAGAAACTGCTATTTTAATAATATTTCAACATCAGATTTGAACTACATGCATGTGCATGTTAAGTTCATTGCAATGCGAATTCCTTTATTTCATACTTTTTATCGTTATAAATATTTGCATATATTCATGTTATTTGCTTTTGTCATTCCAAAGGGAAAATTGATTTTTGCATAGGTATGAATGTACTGTTTCACCGTTTTAACTTAAACTATTTCCCAGTATCCAAGAGTTATTGATACTATGATTGATACTGGAATATAATTCATAACATGATGTGCATATCTTTGTATTCTAAAGACGTCTTTGAATATCATATTAATCATTTATCATGCAAGTCTCGTATTGAGAAACTGTTTACATTGGTGTATCATTGTCTGAATGAAATACAAGTTCATGATGTTAAAATGAAACGCAAAATATACTTTTATTTTTATATTTCCTGCTTTAACGTTTTAGACTTTGATACTTTATTTCAACTTCGATACATTATGATAAATACATGTATACGAAAGAGTAGGTTTGTTAGAGTTGTATTGGTCAAATTCTGTGGTTTATTTACATATCCTTTTAAGGTTCAACACACACACACACACACTCACACACACACACACACACCACACCACCCTACCCCAACCCCCCTTGAGAGAGCTTATAGTCACCCTAAATTCCTTCCCCTGGTAAGTGATATTAAAAGATCCATATCAAAAGTTGGAACTGAGATATGTCATTAAAAAATGGAACGTGTACATTATATTTCTAAAATATTCCATAGTGAGGAACGTAGTCAATAATAAGGCATTTAGGCTGATGATTTGATAAAAAATAGTTCACCGTACTTATAACATGTCAGGCTCCTTTGCAATCAAACTAAGTGCTACGAAATGACATACTTTCTTAAAATCATATGTATTTCTAGCTCATGCGTAGCTTTATTTTCTCTTTTTCTAGCTTTGGAGAGACATGCCGGAACTTTCAATTACTGATGTACAAGTGAAATATCTTTTTAACTATATATATACGTTACGGTCTTTAATAGGGGTATTTGAATATAACCCATCGGGTGGTTAGAATTAAGGGTGACCATGGCCCTTCAGGAGGCTTGTTGAACCGTAAACATGCTTTCTCTTTGCTTTGTATAGCTGTATGAACGCCAATACAATATCATGAAAAAAGGCAGTCGCCATATTCGCGAGGTGAAGACGTATTATGTTATTATAATAACGTCAGAAATTGTCTGATTCGTAGAAATTACGAATTCACCAAAAAGGGGTGTATTTAGAATGTAAAACATGATGTGTATGTCTTTGGGATGACTGGCTTGATAATGCAACGTTTAATTTGATATAAAGTCAAACATCACTTACATTAAAGACCTTCTTTGTTTAGGGACCCCATTTTGGGTTTACTGGGGAGGCTGCTCGGGATACGTATTTGACAGTATAAGGTAAAGGAGGTATGCATAACATACTGACAAACAAAGAAGAAGGTTTGTATTTTGTATCGGTGATAGTATGTAACATAAATACATACATGAACGAGAAACGGGTATTTCCATGTTTAATTGTTAGGCCATATGTGCATATGCGATATTTTTATCTGTATATAGGACTATCTTGGCCCGTATCAAATCAATATAGATACGTTTCATAGCCACCCTGTACGAGTTAAATCCGTTGTACAAACGGCACAAATAATTCAATATCACGTATCAACTGCTCGCAAACCTGTTTTTGATTGATGAAGTTTCATAAGATTCACACAGTTTTTTATATACACACTATCATAGACTTGAAATAAACCAGTACTCATCTAACCTCTGAAATTCATATTATTTAAGGGTTTTTATGTTTCCACCTCTCCTTCTTTTTCACCGTATGTCAGCAGTAGTTGTTTAAGACAAAATTTGGATTTTAACATTGTTTTGTATCAAGTCTCACCGACGAGTCCTAGAAAGATCAAATACATGTATCGTGCAGTGCTATTCATTTTAGGAGTACTGTACCTATAACTAATGTTATAGGTGCCCTACGTCAAGATTCCTGTGACTTTTTTTCTATTTATGATAACTGGCATGACTTAGTATCTACAATGTGAAGTATATATCAAACAATGTTTAGAATCGCTATTTAATATCCTATCCCATATCAAACTTCGGCACATATCGGGCCCCTTGCACCTCAGGCTGTTTAGTATACCCTTTCCCCAACTTGTGGGTAAGACAGAAACAAAATCCACCCAAAGGCTCAGATTCCTAAATATCTAGAGGCTTTGCCGAGGGCGAGCTTCGATGCATTGAAGACGTGACGTTGATACATTGTTGACCTGACGTCGTACAATTGGTTGAATGGGGAATCCCCCGTTTCAACCCTGGAGTTAGGCTATGATATCTCGCATCGGGAAAATTGTGGATACGCCTGTCTAGGATAAGAGAAGTGAGAGTATCTGGTTGAAAATGAATATAAGATGTTTAGGAGATAGGACTAATGTATATGAGATTTGTTTGGCCTATGTGCGATAAGTATTACGTGAAAAAATATTCTTTGATAATGAAATCCAGTGCAAACGATGATTAAAAGGTATTCCAAGTACATAGCTGTTGTGTTTTAATTGAGATTTTGATTCCGCATATTATAATTAAATACCTAACCAAACACTACTATTTGCACAATAGTGCATCAAAGAGTTACCTGTCCTCGAGTAAGAGCATGGGTTTACCCCACAAGGATTACGTTTAAATATTACCGTTTCATGGAAAAAAGAATTTATAAAAGTTAATAATCAGAACAATTCCCACTTATTATACATGTCCAATATTATCAACGTATACATACCAAAAAGAAAAAGAAAGTATTATAGATTTTTTTATGATTTCTTGAAAATAAGATGAGGATGAGAACTGTATGCTTTATAAGTTACATATAAACTATATTATCGTAAAAAATATAATTTAGGAAAAACACAAACACGACCAGTTGTCATTTTTCTTTTTACAAGTTATTTGACTTGTTAATTCACCCCTGTAAAGGCTTTAATCAACTGCTACTGGCGTAAACACTTGCTGTAAGTGCAGAAAACGATACTGATACCGAATAAGGAAGTCACTGAATGCTCATCAGTGACATTTTTCATTTTTGGTGATATTCTAAAAATGAATCATATTTATTTTTCGATTTCAAATCGTTTAAAATATGTGTAATGTCTTAGTGCAAATATACGTAAGACGTATTTTGAGATGCGCCCTAAACATTTTCAACATCAGTTTCATCGGTGACATCCTCCGTGTAAATCTATGTCAAAAAGTAATAGCATGGTAATGCATGGTAATGACAGCATGGTAATGACAACAAAACCACAAAGCACTGTTATGAACATAAAAAAAGACATAGACCATCAAATGACCTCGACCACCCACGTGTATTTATTAAATGAATATGCGTCAATGAAGCTCTTAGCTGGTTATCGCAAAAATGTATCATTTTCGAAAAAAACTTTTTTTGCAGTAGTCGTCAGTCTGTATTAGAACAATAAACAATGAATTATCATTAACCGAGTCACCACCTATCACGTTGTCTATTTGGATTGATAAGGGATACATTGTCTTTTTTCTATATAAAAATATTTCAGAAATTTAGCGTTCTTACAATCCAGTTCCATTTGCTAGTACCAAAGAATATCGATGCTCTATTGTACACAACAGCTATGCCGAGGGCGAACTACCTTCTAATATCACAGATATTGATCTTCTAACATTGATGCTATGGAAATTAGAATAGTGATATTCATTATTCTGGCTGTGATTATGTCACAAACCACAAGTTATAATATATCATGTTTTACATGTACATGTATAATGACATTAGAACAAAGTAAAATATTAGTAATTATTTAATGTTTTATTTAGTCGTGAAAAACAATTAAACTTTTATTAATAATGATCGTACCACTGCCAAATGCTGTAACTACACACGGAATTGTTTTCCCGGTATGTCTATAGCTTTGATAAATCAGTTCTGAAAAGAAACTTTTTTAAAGAAATAGCAAAGGTGAAATAAATAACAAAAAAAATCAGCAACAGTGTTCTGAGTGAAAAATGTCAGCGGGACTTGACTGAGATTCGAACACTGGACTTCAGATTGTTATACTAACCCTCTAACCGACTGAGCTTATCAGTTAACGGAAGGGTTCTGGCCCAACAATGCTACAGTTATTTCAAAAACGAAATTATAGGGAGGTTTCCGTATATTATTAAATCCACGGTGCAATGGTACAGGGACCCTTCATAAATACTATATTACAAATCTCGAGGAGGTACAAAACCTATATTGATCGGAAAACGTGTTAATATCAACGACTACAGGATTGATAGCACCGTTTACATTAGACAATCTGAGATTATATAATAAATGTGTATTACGTGTATCCCTAATACAGAATGTTCAATTTACACACAATCGTATATCTTGATCTAGATTGCATGTAAAAGATGAATTCCAGGTTCATTTGCCAACTTAACATTTTCCGATATTGGTCTCTGATGGTGTTTCCAGTATCAAGTAAGCAATTACAATGTCTTATTTAGAGGGACCTCACTAGCGTCTAACATTGACGGGTGTGTCGTGCTAAGCGCACTTTGACAAATAGTTTAGGAGACAATCTCGCCATGTAATATGTAATAATACGATGTGTAGGCCTGTTCGTGCTACTCATGGACGGTATAAATTTCGCAAAATTAGTTTATTTTCAGGTCCAATATCGATTATATCAGTCGACTGCGGCTTAAGTGTCAACAAACATGATATGTATGCAATTTGCTAGCACGCGATGATACTGCATATTTATCAGTGTTTTTTGTTTAAATGAAACAGTCGACCGATTTGATTTTATGAAAACACGCTCACAGAATGTATCAAAATATTATAGCGTAGTTTTGAATGCGTTTGATGTTTTAAAACAATATGGTAAGATGTGCTTTGTACCTTTTGCAATATATGTTTGTAGATATGACATTATAAGAATTCGATCAAGATATACATGACATGTGTCGTGTGTCAGATGTTAAAATTCTTGTAAAGAACTGTCTTGTTTTATACTTTTGCACATTGCTACGGAAGAAAGTATATGCTTTTCAAACTATCTGACGTTTTACTGCTTATACGAACAAAAACGTATGAACGAATAGCTATCAAAAGCGATTTATACTATCAGCATAATCGCTTATTATTATTATCCTTTATTGTTAGGCTTGTGTAACATATATGAGGGACTTAGAGCTAACATAAATATGACAATTCATTCGATTGTTTTTAAGTATTCACTATAAACGAGGTAATGTGAAGAAACATGCACCTTTTGGTTTACACATGTTGATATAACATCATAGACTCTTTTATAAACTTCTAGATGAAAGACTTCATATATAATAAAGAAATCTATATGAGACGTTTAACGGTGTGTGAGAGTTATCCCCCGNGGGGGGGGGGGGATTCCTCATACCTTACTCAGCTTTCTCAATTAGTTGATATTGCTCTTGCCTTAAAACACCTCACGAGTTCAGTATATCATATAAATTATTTAATTATTATTTGGACAGGTATGTAAGCTAGGTTAATGCACGAAGGAGCAATCTTATGCAACTTAAGATAAAACTAGGGAACGACATAAAGGGGCAAACACACTGAAATCTTACAGGATGATGTAGGCACCAAACCCAATCTGCTAGGTAAGCCATGGTGAAGCAATCCTACTCTCATACTCCAATCTGCTAGGTAAGCCATGGTGAAGCAATCCTACCATACTCCAATCTGCTAGTTTAGCCATGGTGAAGCAATCATACTCTCATACTCCAATCTGCTAGGTAAGCCATGGTGAAGCAATCCTACTCTCATACTCTAATCTGCTAGGTAAGCCATGGTGAAGCAATCCTACTCTCATACTCCAATCTGCTAGGTAAGCCATGGTGAAGCAATCATACTTTCATACTCCAATCTGCTGGGTAAGCCATGGTAAAGCAATCATACTCTCATACCCCAATCTGCTAGGTAAGCCATGGTGAAGCAATCCTACTCTCATACTCTAATCTGCTAGGTAAGCCATGGTGAAGCAATCATACTTTCATACTCCAATCTGCTAGGTAAGCCATGGTGAAGCAATCATACTTTCATACTCCAATCTGCTAGGTAAGCCATGGTAAAGCAATCATACTCTCATACTCCAATCTGCTAGGTAAGCCATGGTGAAGCAATCCTACCATACTCCAATCTGCTGGGTAAGCCATGGTGAGGCAATCATACTCGCATTCTCCAATCTGCTAGGTACGCCATGGTGAAGCGAGCATACTCTCATACTCTAATCTGCTAGGTAAGCCATGGTGAAGTGATCATACTCTCATACCCCAATCTGCTAGGTAAGGCATGGTGAAGCAATCATACTCTCATCCTCCAATCTGCTAGGAAAGACATGGTGAAGCAATCCTACTCTCATACTCCAATCGGCTAGGTAAGCCATGGGAAGCAATCATACTCGCATACTCGAATATTGCTGCAAGGGTAAGCAATGATGTGACAACCGCACTCAAAAACGTTTTATATACGCAATGTTGTGGCTATCGGAGGGCGAAAAATGCGAAATTTAAGCTGCAGCGAACAATTTCCGGTAAACTGTAATACGAATACTCGACAGGAAGTGATATAGCGTCCCAAATTAAGGAAACTATGGTAAGTCATCCATTACTAGCGTGCCTCACTTTGGCTAGATAGATATACAATGTATGCATTCCACGGCTAAGGTTATGCATTTTGTGTCATCCTCACGTATACATCATATGGAAATGTAGGATGTAGTAAACTTAAGACAACCACATTCAGGCTATTAGGTGATTAGGTATTTTGATGTGACATCTTACTCATCTTCGGTCAAATACAGCATTCGAAGCAGGATGTGATATTGGTCACTTGGTGATGTTTGAGACATGAATGATCAAAGTTTGGTTTGGTTTTTGATAAGGTTTAACGTCCTGTTAACAGCTAAGGTCATTTAAGGACATATAGTTTGTATTTCTATGTGTGTACTGTATGCGTGTATGTGTGTTTTAGGCGATATGCTGGTTAATTTGCTTTCGTTCATAGTGTAAGTGATTGATTGAGTGATCGGTATTACGTCCGCTTCACTACCGAGAGGTTCGGTTATCCAGCAGACGAAGAAAGCTAGGAAAATGAGTAGGAGGAATAATGTATGGAACGAAGGTATAGAAAGGTAGGACAGAGGAGAGAAGGATTAGAAGGATCCTTTTCGTGCGAGGTTGGACAGTTCTCACACGGGCTAACATTTATAGTCTCATCCAACGGACTGTGTGTTAGTGGTTAGTGGTTAGGTACTGTTGTTTTTTTTTGTGGTCCGTTCATGTAGACCGCTCCTCATCACTCGTCACTTAAAATAAAGCTGACTGTACTTAACCAATGTCCTCTTTCTTATAACCTCACCATGTCTGTCACTTAGTTGTGTTCATTGTTCCGACATTTCATGTTTTTAATGTATAGTGTAATTATTAATAAGGGGGGGAAAGGGGGAGGCTATTATATTGAAAACTGGTGAAGCAGTTGCTGCGATTACCTGCAATGCTGAACGTGAAACAGGTAAAACGACTCCGATTAATTTGAAGATATTACAGAGAATACGCATTAACATATAAAAACGAATGCCAAATGTATAAACCCATCGTTGTTAGCAGTGCTGTGTTCATTTAGTTATTTTAAATTTCTACAAGAGAGAACAAACTCGATATACTTCTCTTAATTGCAACATTTGACTCCTCTATGTTCCCTCTCGTACTGACCCCAGTTTTTCCAGCGATTCCTTCCGTTGTCAGAGTAATATGAACCATTCGGGATAACTGGCGACCTTGTCATTGTAATGCATTTCAATGTGATGACCATTCAAAGTAGTGTCATCAGTAGTTGTCATTACGGTACATATATAACAACTGCTACAATATTCTTTTAGTTGTGCTATATAAATCTTTTCACAATCACGTATCTGTTTTTACACATTAGTGCAAAATAGCTTACAAAGTTTTCAAATCCTCAATGTGTTACAAGTATAATCCGATTAACAGTAACCCATGTTGTTATGACATTACTGTTTGTAGATTTTAACTATTGCACAATTGAAAGAAATGGCAATTGAAATCTTGAAGGGTCAGGAAACCCTTATCACTTGAACTAGGTACCTGCTATTGGGACAAAATTAGGAATGTGTTCATTCAACAACGCAGTAAGTAGATAAAAGTCCCAAGCTAATATAATAAACAAACAAGACTCTTGAGCTGTGATTCAATATAGTTCATAACGGGCTTGTTTGCATTTCAGTTTAACACTGGGAGCACAGGGACGTGTCAGATTAACGATCCGATCGATTTTTTAATATAAATTGCCAGATACACGAAGAAATACAACGTTATACGTTTGGTATGGTAGATGTTTAAAATGCAAGTATTCTGTTTCGTAAATGTGTAAACACACCAGGGTCCAAATCTCAATGGCTGATAAGCTTAACATTTGTTTTGTAAACTTTGTTGACCTTTTTTAACAAAATAAAGAAATGTTACAAAATATTTTATGTGTCCTATCTTCAGCAGATTACTATGAATCTCCATTAATGCAACGCTTATTTCAATTTCACTTTTTGTGTGAAAGTATACCTGATTAAAGTTCTGTGTTAACTTTTTGTTAAGTTAACAATACTTTGAACTTCTTGGCCCTGGCGAAAAACTCACACCGATAAACTGATTTAAAAATGATGATGAAAATCACGGTGTCATTTGCATGCTCAGAATATGACTAGTATTTTACATCTTGTTTAGCGTAATATGATATTTTGTTCGAGAGCTCATTTACCATATCCTATTTCTTTAACCTTAGATTAAATACTAAAATTATTTCGTTTTGGTTTTTTTAAATCAGAAAAAAAGCAGACATATTTTGGTATTTGACATATGCAATGAATGGACATTTAAGCTCAGACGGGTTAATTGCGCTAGTGCAAATAGAACATTGATTATATTTAAATGTTTTTGAAATCGGCAAACATGTAAGTTTCAAAGACCTTTCAAACATATTTGACATCCTATGATGAAAAGATAAGCCGTGCTAATGTTTGAATAGAAGAAAAGCAATAAAACTCAATACTTTTACAGAATTGATTGTCGTTAGAGTACTTATCGTTTTGAGAATAATTGAAGTTGACATAAAATCAAACATTAACGATCGAAAACAAGACGAAAAGGAAAAGAACAAAACAAGTTTTTATATATAAAACAACGGCAAATAAGAGGTAATTAATTTATCTCTCCTCACATCAAGCTTGGAATGCCAGATTGTCTGTGAATGGTTCAGCTTTCCATCACAGGGGTTCTCAGACTTGTGCCCACTTCAGGTCTTTCGTCTACAAATATTGACACAAATAATTACAATTGACCCTAGGCATACAGAGTATTAAACCCCGATATTCTACAGTGTAGCTTTAGATTTGCATGTGACTATTCCAGCAAAATCTAAGATTCGTCAGCATGGTTCTCGTATGTTTGTGATCAAACAGGTCCGCAACCCATCGATCTCATATTCCGATCAGAAATGCATTCATCAGTTATACGCATAGCTAGATTAAATCTGTTTCTTCTCCTACTCCCTTTTTCGTATTGAAATATTTGATATTTTTTTTAAAAATGTCAAATTTCTTACATTTAGATAATAATTATGAATCTATAGGAATACAGGATACGAAATTCCATGAAAAATATCGGAAGAAAAAGAAATAATTACTTTACGTGAAGCTAACTTGCCATGGCGATGTTGACTTGATAAATCAGGTACTCAATCGTGTGTTAAAGGAATGGAAATAGATTCCGTATTTGGCCTGGTTGAACGTACCTATATAGAAACATCAATATCACATGCAAGTTTCCTGATTGATTATTTTTCCCTGTTTATATTTTCCGAATTATTTATCAATAAAAATGAAGTCATGAACGGATATTCATAAACATTGTTATAGTACTGTTGGATTGCTGTTTACAGAGGCGTCCGGGATGAACACGTATGGCAAGTAAGTTAGCTTTAATTTGTGAAGTTTTATTCAGTTTGCAAAGATAAGTGTCGTTCATCTACATCCTTAAGCATACGTATCGTGGTCTTTTACGTGTAATTAAAAGTAAGACAAAATGCAAAAGTGGTAGTTCTATAACATGGTGTGTTATTGGTGGACACGCATGGCTGCAAACCAGTTGTCATAAACCACTCAAGCATGCATCAACCGCAAATTCTGTCATCCGGAAATCTCGACCTAGGGCAAAAAATTGTTAGCACAAAGGCATGCTTACGGTGTACGGTTCTAGTAATAGAAAATACACCTAAAATAGCAGTATTCGGCCTAAACCACGGCTGTCTGGTGTTTATATATAGTTTCGTCCTGTTCTGACACACTGAACGAAACAGACGGTGACTGATTGAGAGTATACAGGATTTGTAGATGCAGATATTGGATTATGTAACAAGAAACATTAAAACCTTCGCATTTACACTATGTAGTGATACTCTATATATACGAGACTCTTTCTATATGTGTAGAAACCGGACGACGTTGTGGATATGACGGTGTACACTCTCGGACAGGTTTGTTTTGTTTGTGTTGATTTTGTATAGGAAGTACGTACTCCACGTGCCGGCATAGATATGCTAGTCATCAGGGCCGGCAATACAGATAGCGGTTCAGGGTCGAGGACACACTACTAAACACTAAGGACTGGGACAGGAGAGTGATATTTTCAGTGTAAGATATTTATATTGTTATAGCCAAATTGTTCTGCAAGTGGCTTGCGACCTTTGTAAGCATGTCAGTCGTTTTACAAAAAGAAGTTTAAAATTTGTCAATATTTAGATGTTAACGTTAATTTTCTATTTTGATTTATGCAGCATACAAGTGGTTTCTTACAGTAACACGCGTTTTTACTCTACGTTGTGAATATATGGGATATTGACTATTTCTGTCTACAACACGGATACGGATGTAAAATGGCAACCTCTAATGGTGCACGTGGGAATACATGTATCTACAACTGAAATGTGACATGATAGAGCACTGATGTCGATTTTATTCTCATGGGATGAGGAATTCACTGGAAATTACGCGTTATTAATTTATACCTAATTGTGTTATATCTTATAGAACGAACTGATCTAGTATTGTTATATTGTCGATCAATAACCAGGGAGGGTATTTTCAGGATTTTTGTTACTTATAATGAAATATTTAATAGTGATTTGAATTTCTTATTTTTATAACGAGAAAAAGACCGTGTTTGGTTCAATATTTAACAAGAGAAAAGCTTTATACACCACATTATTACAAGTACTGACTTGGAAATATTGGTGCCAGTGTTGGGATTAGCTATCAAATCAAGTGCACACTTTGCCTTTTGACAACCACTGACACTCAACGATCAAGGCGACTAAGAAAAAGCAGAACGTAAACGCCGGTTAGAAACCCCGGTATCACCTTGTGGTGTATTAACGAATTACCAAGTGTTCGCCTCTGTGAAGTCAGGTATACCAAGCAAGTCATGTTACAAATAATAAAAAGTCACAACTGAAAAAGTGAGTTTTCCGGTTTCGTTAAGTGAAAATATCACTACATCAACAACCGAGCAGGATGTCTTTTTTAGTTGTAGTTTTCCTTTTACGATCATCTCATCTGGCTGGAAATTTAACTTATTGGAATTTCGTCTCAAAGGTCTGCTACATAGCACCTTACTGCATTTGTATGGTGATTAGCTGTACGATTTATGCCTATTGTTTCACATCTCGTTTGTGTATTTATTAGTCTTCGTTTTTCATATTTTAGAATCGAACAACATGAACCAATGTTCACACGTGCCATGAAGGCCATCAATACGTAAAGGATGCGGATTGAAAGGTAGGTAATTCTTAACACGTTTCATAAATTGCATTTGTGATGCTTGTCATTTGATGATCATTTGAAATCTGTTTTGAGGAATTCATAACAAAGGAAAATACTCCATGAAGACAATTACTATTTCATATCTCTTATTCTCATAAGATCCACAATTATCTTAATTTGTATTTAACTACACGTTCCTACTTACATTTCACCTCTCCCTACATGTATATTTATATATTAAGTTGGTGTGTGTGCTCCATGTGTTCTGTATGGTGACAGAAGGTATTGAAAACCATCTTACATGTACTGTACACGGATGTTTAGCCCATGAACTTTAGTCCAAATGAGGAAGTACGTGGTAAGTCATTTGTGACACATGTGTGTAAACTTCCTCAGTGTCATACTGTACAGTAGTGTTGACTATTTGACTTGATACATGTAAAAATATTCAAACTGAAGTATCTTTTCTGCGACACAAAATTAAAAACTAACACACCTAAGACAAATCATGCTTTCTAGTGGTCATAAATTTACAATTTGATATTGTAATTAAGAAAAGTCTGACCTAATTTAATACAAATAGTGCAAATGTCCCCGCTACGATACACTCATTCCGATATTTACACTTTCAAACGGGTTTGCTTTTTAACGGTATCTCGTAGAGGTTTATTTTGACATTAGACAGACATATCTCTATTCTTAGCAATACGAGATTCTTACAGTCAGCTACCTCACTGTATAAGTACCAAGTAATATTGGTTGAACCTTTATATTCAAATTATTTCATCTGAATCTTTGAGAAAACACTAGACCTGATTTATCCCGCTACATTATCGTATGAAGCGACTAATGTGGTCGACATGCAGATTTGTTTGGTTTTCCTCTTTATCGTTTCATTGTCTACAACATTGTTTATTTAAGTGTTTCTATCAACCGTGGACATCGTTTTCATGTGGCATTACCGAGACACAACCCCTATGCAAATAAACAAAGCAACCAAACATCAGCGTCATTCCTTTTTAAAAAGTTAATTTACCGCATGGCCCGGTATGACCTTACGTTTTTGGGACGTTAAAAATTAAAAGTAACTTTTATTTTATCAACTTAAATTAAGTGTTCTTGTTCACCACATGTAAATGGCAGGGGAAAATCTGTCGCGATGTTGTTGTTATGGTAGTGGCATACCTAAAACACCTTTCTTCTATTTTACTAGCTGATTTATGTCTAAGTTAATCAACAGATATTACATTTTCACATTTTTACCTGTAGCGTATAAGTACATAGCTAAGACCCGTGTGTGGTATATCAAAATGTTCACATTAATTCCATATTGAAATCGACTGCTTAAATGACAGTATCAACAAATTTCTCATTCCTGTAATCGTGTACATTTATAACATGTATATATAACTTTGTACCGTACTTAAATAACCTGGGATACACCTATATATATATATGTTACCTGTAGATTGAGTAGGCCAATGAAAGCCCTATGGGCACGAGTCGTGTCTTCTCTAGTGCTTGTAAGGGTCTGCGGAACACTAGTGTGTTAACGTGTAAAACTATTCATACAAAATTGAGATAATGACTTGAAGTCGGACCTATTGTATTGACTTGAATGTTTCAGTTAACAGGTTTGGACGCTTTCTGAAAAATGTGTGACCTCGTTTCTTGAGCGAGATACCAAAGTATCAAGTTGTTTAAAGGGGACATCCTGGAATGTTGAAATTTTATTTTTGGCACTGTTTAATAACATTTTTCTTTCTAAGATCTTTGGTGATGTTGAACATTTTATGCTTTCAATTCGAAATCGAGTAGGTTTGTTTTCTCAAGATGAAGTTCACAAAACGGCACTGCAATGATGACGATTCATACCTGTTTAAATGGATCGTTCATTACGACTAGTGCTTATCCTTACAACGCAAATTCCATAGACATGCTGCAGCGCATTCTTAGGAAAAAAGATATCATTTATAATGAGTTATGCTAAATAGTAAATAATGATACGTTATTATCTTAGTGAAAGAAAGAATGGATCGCAAACTTCACATTTATTACATAACATAGATATCTCATATACTTTAGGACATATCTCAGACACTAATTGATCTATCATAATTTATCATATGACATATCTCTGCTAAATTCGAATGTATCTTTTACTTCATTTACATATATCTCTGTTATACTTAAAGATATATCTGTTACCAAACAAAGATATATCGTCAAATCTTTTAAAGATATATCTATTTCAAATAGTATGAGATATCGTCATTTTTTTAAAAGATGTATTTTTTACCAAACTGTATGAGATATCGTCAATTAATTTAAAAAAATATATCTAAAATCAAATTACATGTGATATCGTCAATTTATTTAAAGACATATATATATATATATATATATTGCCAAATTATATAATATATAACAAAATAATTTAAAGATATCTCTATTCAAATTTAAGATAACTCTTATAATTGTGTTATCCTTTTTTGGGTATTAATTATTATAATAGCTTGCCATTAATATGCTTCAATACATATCAACAAATCTACTGACTCCACCTTTTAATCAACCCTTATTTAGAGCCTCAACGTTTGTTATCACTCGATTGGTGAGGTATTATAGGTTTTGGTGTCCTATTACATTGTAACAGCTCGGGTCTTTTAAGACGTGTCTCAGTATGCTGTAATGTATATGTGTATGCGTTTATGTGTGTAACATGTTATCAATATACATTTTTTGACCTCAACCATTAAGATATAAGTTTAATTGCAAAATGATATCTAAATAAAGCTTTCAGAGTAAAGTAATTTGTTTAAGATGTCCTTGTTTTTTGACAGCGGTTAAATCTTGTTCAAAGCCTCCCAAACGAAACCACTCTGTTCTGTATTAGGAATTTATTCCTAACTCACAATCTTTCATAGTACAGTAATTTGTATAAGACGCCCTTACAAAATTTTGTTTTTGACAGCGGTGAGAAATCTTGGCTTGTCTAAAATGCCTACCTATCGAAACTGCCTCATGCTGTATTGGGAATTTAGATTATAAGAAGTTAGAGATAAATCGAGTAGCAACCAACCTGACGGAAGGTATGTGAGCGTCGTTTATCAGGCGTAAACGTTACAGCTGTGATAGCACTAATGAGTATGTACATGTACCAATAAAAGTAAGTAAACCTGTTAACAAGAGCATATATGTATTACGTAGATATAAAATACGTTTCCTATACAACAGCCCTGGATATAACACGAAGTTTGGCATGCCGTCTGGTTGCTGTGTATAACAGGCGGGAAGTATATATCATTTGGTGTTTTCCCCTGATTTCTACGTTTTTGAAGTCATTTGAAGTCCAAAGCTGACATTTCTGTCCTAATGACAAATCCTAACTATTGTTGAACAACAGAATCAGCTACTATCAGACACATAACTAGTCACAAGGTCAGACGACAGAGCGAAATAGGTTACGTCTCGGAGGTGATATGAGTTGAAAATTGGCACTCGTCGGACTTAATATAATGGAATCAATTCTTGTTACTTGTAAGTACTATGTTGATAATCCCGTACATGTATCATAAAACTTGTCAATGTAAGACATCACTTACAGTGAAAGGGATTTGCAAATCGGATCCTTATCATATTTGCTAATAATCACTCGTTAAATTCGATATAGCAAAGTACGTTTACTATTGTTAAGGGATCCCTCCGAGTAAAACTTGAACCTTATAAAACGAGCAGGAAAAAGTTTACTTTTTTGTTTTGTTTTTTTGCATCGTAAAGTTTCATCTTATTTCAAGTAGGTGTTTCCTTTCTTTGCATTTTAGTAATTATTCTAGAAAGGACAGTATTGTACAAGAATACTGATTTCAGGATAATTAATTTTATTCTTTCTTTAGTAGTAACATACCGGCTTGCCCTTCCTTACGTATAACAATCGATGTGCTGCTCTAGTTAATGTTTTAAGTAGCAAGCAGGATTTGCAGCATAGATGTGTCATCTTGACAAATATATTACGTAGTCAGGGCTGTCTACCAGAGACGCTTCAGTAGGCGTTGAATAAGCGTAGGTCATCAGCATAACCGGCTTGTCAACAATTATAAAGCAGTGTCGACTTCTTTACCTTTTGTTAGATCGTTGATTAGCTGCACAATATCATTGTTTGACGAGAGACGTCATGGTGGGTACCATATGTGGCGCCGGAAACGCTTAACCTTTAACATGATTCACGTCCTGTTTATTGTGACACTTTTAAAATTTCATTCTTTTGTCCTTCGTAGCCAAACTCATTTCAACTCAGTCCTTGTATGATGAGGTTGTGGTATACTTTCTGTTTCACTCCTTAAAACAATACCACGGAAATAAATATTTACGAATATTGAAACAGTGCCAGTAAGCAGTGATGTATCAGTGATTTGGCATTTTGGTATTTTCTAATATCAGTAGTTTCAGATAAATTAAAAGATAAATATTTTTAAACTATGTAGATTATATTATTCGTGTTTTAATTTATCGCTTAATTTGTGTATGCTAATCCACACTGAATGTTGATTTTTTATCTGTAAAGTATTTTTCTGTAATTTGTTTCACGTGACCTACGATACAAACATATATAAATGTCTAAATTTAATCCTGTGTTAAAACAAGGACCGAATGCATGTACTTTTACCTCTTTCATTAAAATCAACCAAAATAATTCATTGTAGTGGACTTGTAGCAGTTAATTTACCGGGTAGGAAATATATATCTGTGTCTGAGGTTTAATCTGGAAAGTAATTTTCTCTAAAGGCGTCTTAAACACACGTGTGGCAGACAAGAGCTGATAACATTGTTAATTGACGGTGACGACGACGGGCCCCATTCAGCTTAATATGAGTAATAAGAGCCTTATTTACTCTCAAAGGCACTTATCAGTATATTTGGTCAGGTAAAAGGAATGTCTGTATACCTACATAATGACAGTTGGGTAACTACTTACTGGGTACTGTTAGCTTTATTATACCTAAAGCAAAATGTGATACATTTAAACACAACAAAAACCAACAGTAGGCTCTTTATTTACAATTCATTATTTCTGACATCAAGAGAATGTTTTGAGTCTACGAAACTAAAATATGAACTCCATTCACAGATTTGTAATGTCATATAGTAGACACATGAACTGGGGAACTGACTGTTCGTCATGGTGTGTTGACGTTCTGGTGTATGTCTGTCTCCTTTACTTATTTTTTTTTTAAAAAGAGAAAGAAATATTTTAGTGAGGCAATCTGAAACCACTATAAGAGTCGTTCACTTCACCCCAGTGTCGCCTCGCTCTAGCTACATAGATATGTATGTATTTTATAAAAATAAGCAATAAGTGGTTGTTTTTGTCCTTCACTTGAGTCAATGGCAGTTCCGCTGTGAAATCTCAGTCAAGCTAGCGTTGTTGAAATTAGCTTTGATAGAATACCATCACAGCGAACGTAACTTGCGTGTTGTTTTTTTATATTATTTTACAGATTGAGATCCCCATAGACACGAAACAGCCTTCGAAATAGCCGTGTATAGGGTTCTAGTGCAGGACACACCGACATGTGATACACGCATTGCTGGTATGTAAATATATTTACAAGTCTCGTCATTAACTTGTCATAAACATCTATGCATATGATATTTCGTCCACGATGACTTTCATAAAGTAGCATGTACGTTGTCGGATATTATGAGTGTGGATCTAACAGGTGTCAGTAACAGCTTCAGATACATTTTAACAACACAGAAACGGCTTACTGCGTTTTACTGATGTTTTAAATTCATAACATATGTACTCAAATTGTTTATATACATTGTAAATGTTAGGAACGTAGAACGCAGTATACGACAGAGTTTTGTTTACATACATATTTTGATCGTCACTTAACTGGTAAATTACATTGTATTATCCTAGGTGATATGACAACGCTGCAGACATTTTTTGTCTGTTCTACTATCTGTATTTCCCTTTTGATGGCGTCGCCGGGGTTAGTCTGATTTGCCCGAATGATGTGACCGGGATGTAGTGTCATACTTCGTGTCCAGATTATGAGATAGTTTTTATAGAAACCCTTTAGCGGCTGCTTCATCTATAGAACCGACTTTATGAGACCTTGGCCGGATCGAAAACCCTGCACAAATATCTATTTAAACTGTTAATCTCATTGGTTTATCTCATTATGAAATTCCATTATATATGAACTAGTGTTAAAAATTAAGATTGGTAAAATAATTAATATTAATTATATCTCATTTGTTTTGTATCTAAAATGATTTTTATAAATTCAAAAGCACGTATGCATTATAAGAGTAATTCATCATTGTATTGCCACTATTTGTCCAACCGAATTACTTGGGTTATGAAAGGGTTTGGAAGGCATCCGATGCAAATTTATGAATGAACCAGTAAAAAAAGTGAACGTTCAACTATGCCGTTGTGAAGCGAGCTAGCAAATGCAACGAGGGGCATTAAATCGACGTTTAAGTGAATTCTGTGTATGTTATGAATACAGATCAAATAGCACAAATGAATATGTAGGTCAATTAGTTTAATAGATAGAGAGGCGAATGATTCATCTGCTTTGTGTCCAATTTGGCGTCATAATAGTCCCTATGTTTTAGATCAGGCGATGTACTTTTAAGTTTCGGGATTCAAGATGACCACAATGGTTTCCGATTGGCTGACACTTTCACATTTATAATTTGTGCTGTATCGTGCAAACTGTATAAACCGACCATCGTCAAAGAGTTAGAATTCCAGGTGGTCTATGATAGAATGAGACTTTTATTGTAATAATGTAAGTTGTTGCGCCAACTATGTTACTACTTTGTGGTACTGATACACAGCAGATATAAGTGTGCATTAAACTAAAAAGCCTATTTCTATTTTAATGATTCAAAATGGCTGCCGAGGCCTCTGATTGGTTCAAATATATATAGCTGTAACGTCAGCTAAACTGAGTTCATTGTTATTGAAAGTGCAAACCCGAATGCAGGGGTAGTTTTATGGACTTCGAAACGGTCTCTGTTACACTCAGTACTTGCTAATATTTGTTTAAATCATATTCCCATAGAAAATGTAACAGTCTCGCCTACTTCTGTCAATATATATGAGGCCTGTTTTACAATGTCATATGGATCTATCAGGGTATTGAAATAAAATAAAACTTCTACCAGAATTGAGATATTTATTATCAGATATTATATCAAATCAATAATTCAACAACGAATGTTTCTGTAACCTGTTTGTATCATCTGGTCATTTTACAACCGTGTGCAACATTTGCATCTGTACGTAGTATACATTACATATAGAGATCACTACTCTGAATCTGGATCACATGAAGATTATAAAGTTTTACGGTTTTGTACTTATAGTAGGACAATTAGGATAAAGTTTATTTTAACATTTGAGTTGAAGGGACGTGGAGTTTATAAATATTGATAAATATTTTGAAATCTGATGCCAGTTGTTCAAAGTTCTGTTAGCTTTCAAGTTAACTCATATTAAAATTTTCAAATTAAAAATTAAAAATTTGAGAAGATATTTTAACATTTCTTTTCAATATCTTTATTTTAAACCGATAAATATGAAATATTAAAGCAATAGATTAGAATATTTTAGAACATTTTAGTTAACTTTACATGAAGTGTAAGATGTACAGTCTTTAAACTCAATTGTGTTCTTGTCCATGTATTCTATGTGCAGACATAGCTTAAAAACTATGTTTATTGCCCATGACAGGCTGTGCAATATAAATATGTTTTGACGAGGAAATATTCTGCAGCCTGACGTCAGTATCGTAATGGACATCATTATGTTGTCGTTTCACCGAGTCACAGCTTTCCTGACAAGCCTGTGACATAATAATGAAGCAAGACACACACCACAGAACTGGCTATGTCAGACAGCAGTCCCTATGTTGTAGTGTTGAAACCTATACCATACCATAACGCAAAAATGTCCATATCGAAGCATTGAATTGCTTTCAGTTGGAATTCATTGGCAATACCAGAACAAACTGAACAAAGCCAAAAGCAAGTTCGATGTAGCGCGTTAGTGCTTCATGTTCATGATGAATATACATTTGTCTAGTTGGCATTCATATTACCTTTGAATGCCAACTTAAAAAAGATCAATGCTTATATTTACTATTTTCTACTATGTGCTTTTTTACCATCATTCAAATTTCCCATCCGTATCGTTGCTTAGTTCGTAATTCGTTAAACAGTCAACAGTCCAACAGGATGCAAGAATGCAATAATGATGAAGTGATTTTTTTTTGATTTTTTTTATATATTATTCATAAAAAAGAAATTGTGGGGGGGAGAGAGATTACGTCCTGGCTACAACAAATGTTATTGGAAGACGGTTTCCAAGGATGGCCGGTCAAGGTCCAATTTATAGTGCTATCTCACTGAAATGCCATAATTTCGACAAGGTACATGTACCATAACATTCCTTCCGGTTACATTATACTGACCACATGATAGCCATTGGCATATCTTATTCAAAATTAAACGACAAGCAAAGAACAGTAAGTACCGGTATAAAGGACTTTGATTTGTATTTGTCAGGGTACATAACTTTAAACCTTCCTCGCTTTGGCGAAAGTCCATCACCAAGGCCAAAAACGAGGCATTGCCAAATCAGGCATTAGGAAACGGAAGTATACAAAAGGAAGAACTTTACAGCGAAAATGATGCAATGGGTTCAGCAGATTTGTTTTGGTAGCTTTCATGTCCCCAAGTACAAAACACAAAAGAGAATCCCCAATTATTCAGAGTTGTTCCTCACCAGTTGCCCTCAAGTTGTTGAACAGTGGGTATATTCTTTTCTCGGCCTCCGACCTGCTGGCGTAAAGATGAAGTGAACAATCGGTCGTGGCTCCCATATCTGGTATGAATGCCATTCCAATTCAGTGGCGTTGGATAGTGATATCGGTATGCAATTGTATATTGTCATAGAGGTATTTTGGAGTATCTCCCCAACGCTAAGTCCTTCAGTATAAGCTGTACAATTGACGTCACATAATCAAGTTATCCTGTTATAGAATGAAAATATTCCATGTTAATTACTACATAAACCATCTAACATTTGGGCAAACAAGAGTGATTAATATAAGTTGTAAAAGTTTGTTTCATGATTGTTGTAAAATAAAAAAATAAAATTAGAAATCATCATTCTATCAAAGAAAAAAATAAACATCACGTTTTTTCTCTTGGTGCATTGACACTCTCACAATGATAATGAGTACTCCATTTTCTTTGTTAATTTAATATTATCTACTCTAAGGGTATTCAGATTTTCGTAATAGTAAATTAATATTATATATACATGTAGTTATATAACGTAGATACAATAATGGGAACAGACTCTACGTGTTAGGGTTAAACCATTGTCCTTATCCATACCTTCCATCTACGTCATTATACAATTCTACCAGAGAACGCCACATCCCCGTTGGATAAGTAACTGCGCTTCATGCAGCACTCTATTTTGTTACTATCGATTCCGGATTTATATATAAAATTTCAAGGAACATACGTAAAGGTTAATTTCCCTCCATAGTCGAAATCAGAAACTTTGGGAATCGGCCAGTCAGCAAGTCACATGATACTAGATGATTTCGTAAGCAATAAAAGCCGTATTGATCATTTCGGCAGAAAATGTAGAAAAGTTAAAAAGTCAGCTAACGTAACTAACAGGTTATTTGCGCACGATGGCGAATTGGTCAGATAATTATACTGAAAATAAACGAAATTAAAGCTAACCATACATTGCTTCTACCGATCTTGTCTACACACGCAATCGCTTAGGGTAACAACAACGATAGTCTATATGGTTAGCTATATATATATATATATGGAGCGTACATAATTCATACATTCTAGTGTATTGTATTATTGTATTGTGTTGGGGGAGTAATCAAACGCCGTAATTGAGCATCTGCGTGTTTTGTGACTGACAACTAAAATACATTATGTAAGCTTGCTTAGTTGAAGCGAAATGGATGCCAGTTTCCGGGATAGATATTTACAACAGTTACAGAGCTGTATGTGTATGTGTGCGTGTCAGATGTAAACATCTTAAGGATATAGATATGTATGTATATATATATACATCTATATTTATATTTCTCTGGTACTAGTTACAACATTGAGTGTTCTTCAAACGGTCTGGTACGACAGACATTACAAACATCCGGGTAACCATATATGCATTAGTTTGGTGAAAATTTCAATCAAAATTTTACATTATTATATTAAGTGGTTTGCTGCATATCAATGCTCGGTGACGTATCAGTACTGTATATATATGTGCCATCTGTGTTTCTCAATACATCATAACATCTGATTCAAACTCTCACCATTGGATTATAAGTGCATTGTATGAAAACAGCAATGACCATATAGTATTCTTCATCGTGACGGAACAGCAAAGTAACATATTATTTATATTTATACCTGGAGGGATATATACTGATCGTTTGACTAAATATTTGGTTTGCATATTTGACCTACGTGGTCCGGAGCTTGGTCAGCATATTTGACCAAAGTGGCCGGAAGAATGTCTTGTTGACATGTGATTGACACGTTGTCAATTTGTACGTTCAATAATTCTTTCAACGAGATCTTGTCAGTTATTTGACCAACGCTGTCCGGAGAATATCTAATTAACAGGTAAATCAAATTACGGTCACCTTTGACGTGCAGTTTACACAAGGTATATAGTCAGATTTCTTGGGTTTTGATAGCGATCATACATATCTTGTTGACCTTTAATTCACCGGTTGATGACCTGCGGACGATGTCCCCTACCAAATGACCAGTGTGGTCAGTCACTCAGACATACCCTTCGGGGAAAGTCCAGAGAATGTCCCGTCGCGGATAAAAATAGTGACTAAAAGCCACGGTTTGTCCCTACAGGTAAATGACTGCTTGCGTAGTAAAGTTAAAGTTTATACAGCTTACGATACTCTACTGGGGATAAACTCATACTAGGGGTAAGGTGTCTTACAGTTTATTTATGCATTTATGCAAAGTACTTTCAAGGTCAAGTCAATGCCATATTGTTCTAGTCAGTTAATACACAGATATACAATTAAGAGGTTTATCACATATGCCTTTAACTTATTCACCCCTGAAGACACATTTGAACTTTTCCAATTCAAATTTTGGAATAGTTCATTATGAAATTTCAGGGGTGAATATATTTTGAAATTAATAAATGCCGGTAAGAATGTGATCAGTTTACTAGTTACAGACGACAAGTTATAATGCAGATAATGGCATTATACCTGCGTGATACACACACTTATATAATTACCCAGGCTAAATCTTTACATTTTCAGTTGATAACATGCTGATTAATTTATATACTGAGGGATTCTTCCTTTAATGGTTGATTGATTGGTTGGTTGGTTTGTTGGTTGGTTAGTTAGTTGGTTAGTTGGTTAGTTGGTTGGTTGGTTAGTTAGTTGGTTAGTTGGTTGGTTGGTTGTACAGGGTTTAAGGTCCCATCAACATCTAAAATGGAAATATGTATATTTTTCATCGTAACAAGGTGATAAAGTTGAAGACAGGCAGGTTCTTCCTATAATGTTGAAGAAGTGACATTTAATTACAAAATGAAAATAAGTAAATCTTAGTTCTAACGAATGACAAGATAAAACAAATCGTAATATATAGAAGTACTGACGGATGTTTTCAAATATATTTGTAACTTTACGAGTCGTTACATTTGCCGATGACTTAATATTTTTTGAAGTTATTTAAACTGAATTGATTTAATCATACATGTTTGTTATATTTGTATACATATTATGTATTCATATATTGTATACCTTATTGCATATTTATGGTATATATATATATATATTAGTTGAATATTTGCTAATATTTCAAACCAATATAATATGTTTTTCTTTAAACTCGTAACTTTGTTATAGACAAATTAAAGCACAAATCAGCGCTCACATCCTTTTTAGTGATTTGAATTTGTGTAATAATAAGGGTTTAATTGGATACCTATTTAAATAAACAATTTGGAGTCTTAAACGAGGCAGAAAGGCAGATTGGACAAAAATCTTTTAACATTTCGGCCTATGCTATTTCTCAAGATTGTGTTAACTTTCTCCCTGTTCCAAACCCTAGATCCGCCCCTACGTAAAATGTACATTAAAAGTGGTGATACTTAATAGGTCTAATACATATTTAAAAGTCGAAGTATTAGAGGAATGAACATTGTATCTTTAAATCATACGATACGTTAATATGTTGCTAGCCAGTAATCACATAATAGCTTGTAAAACCGAATAGCATAAAAGCATTCTACATTGTAAGAGCGTACAAGATGACGCTGATAACAGTGTATCATCATTAGTATAACATATATATTTTTGAAAATTAAATATACCACGTGATCATATATCTTCATGTAGAATGAACTAAACATTTAAATGCAATCACATAAGTAATTATTTTATTTGCATAATACCACCATGTTAATTGGTGACGGATTCTAATTAGCGGAATCTAGTTAACGTGTTTGCGTGTATCGACCCTGCCTGTGTCCATGGATAATAAGAAAACAAGTACCACCCCTCCCACATCAAGTAACACCATACTAGCTAACAATGGCTGGCCAGATGTCACTAGCTATTTAATTATATACTATCTATATTGAATTTGCACATGCAGGTACAGTACGTGGTTTGAGTAGCTGTACATGTACGTGGCGAGAATTTGACCACTCGATTTAGTTGCTGGATATACATGTAACACAGTTCGGAATACCGGTGAATCTAACACACATCAATAAATTGACAACGGAGTAACATTGACAGTCTCCAGTAGAGATATAACATGATTTGATGCGGTTTTTTCCAATCAGATTCCTATATTTGATCATGTGGCTAAAGTGTCAGTACAAATTGCATTACACAGCGAAAATGTTACCGTCACAAACGATAGCACTATTAAAACTGTATCAAATAAGATAACACGTTGTTTTCCTCCCACAGGAATTGCTCAACAGCGTGTTTCCCGCCTTGGATGTCTCCTGGATGCAGTCGGAACGTTCCCGCCAATTCACAAACTATTTTGGAACATTTGCGGACGGGAACACTTGATGTAAACACGACGATCGAGATATCTCTAGACTTTACCTTTAGTATATACACACACACACAAAACGAAACGATTACGTAAAAGGAATACCTAGAGGGCAGAAGTTTGACTGACATGTTACATGTACCTAATTAAGGACGGTCTGAGGCTTGTCGGTGATTGACAGATTGACAGTGGATATACCTGTCGGACGATTTACTCAACTGTATTTACCTCTAATCATTCTTTACCTGCATCAAATGACGCCTTAACCAGGTGTTATTAGATTATCTAAAAAAATCGAGTGCAGAATTGGATACATGTGATTAAGTACGAACTTCAGTGGAAACATGTACAAGTGAAATTCGTTTTGTCGCCGTGTGTGGCAGATTTAAACAAGATTTGACATTTACAAGAAATTTGGATTTAAATATACACCTTGACTATATACAAGATAAGTGTTTACCTGGGAGTGTATACCTAACTGCGCAACAGGATGTCTTTTTTACCTGGAGGAACAAGACTTGCCAGTATGAAAAGGTAAGAGGTATAAACCAAGGTCAGACTTAACATGTCCGATTCATTTATGTTGACAATTAATGCTGTAGCTTCTTTAATATGAAAATTCATTCACAGTAATGAATCATCTGCTTGACATTTGCAAAGACTGTGTGTGGACCTCTTTTCGAAACCACAATGTACGCCCGCCTCAATTTAATGTTTTCGGGATAATTTGTTTTAGCCGCTGTATTGTTTTAAATGATTTTATTACTTTTACTGTAACCATTTTTGTTCAAATTTTTGGAAAACACAAATTTTGATTACACAAGAATTCCTGCCAACTTCAAAATAAAGAAAGAAATTTAAATTCAAATGTTCATTTCCTATCTTTCATAATAGACACGAGGAAAAAAAAAGAAATATTAGAAAAGGAAGAAAAATGGACAGTTAATTTATATTTGAATATTAAAGTGATTTTTAAAAAATCTTTCGAAGGCAGGCAAGTTTGAATGCATTTTGTTTTTTGTTTTATCTCGGGATGATCACAGCATATGAACAGAACGGAGATAATGTTAAACTATGTATTTATGAAAAATCCTGAACAAATCTATAGTCATTCGTTATCCCCTTACTATTTCACGAAAAGAAACATGGAACTTTTAGTATCTAGGCATGAAACAGCTATGACATGAACAATAAATACATCTGCATATTCGAACACACTCCTCGGTTATATTTCTATTTTTTCCCGTTTGAATAATGCTATACTGTACACAAGATACAAATCGGACAGACAGACGAACGCACTGACGAGCCCTTATCAATGCATGGAGACGGACATTAGTCCATTATTACGAAATGTTATTAACATCGTTTTGAAATAAAACAAACATATGTGTTGAATAAGCGTGGAAGAGGGCACAATTTTCAATATGGACCGGATGTTAATTTTACCCGGCTACCCCATCTTGGCGCAAATTAAAGCATAACTGGATATTATTCAAGAAATGTACAAAATCACTCACGTACAATACATGTGTGACTAATCAGGGTGGATGAGTTGGCACATATGTAGAATATCTAGTGTGAACTGGAAGATAAGTTTACTGTGCGACGCCATCGTGCCGCAAAGCACCTCGGGACATTAACATGTATCAACCTATCCACGTATACATGTACTACAATGGTTTTATACATATCTGCAACAACGGATAAAACTTTTCTTATCAGGAAGTTTCTGATAGTTTATATTATGTAAGTATTACCACTTGCATTTTGACAATCTCAACGTTCAACAATTGGTTCTTTTCCCCCTGATATACTATTAATTACCGGCGGCGTCCCCTCAAAAACACATCTAAACACACTGTACATGTAGTCGGTTCTTCTAAAAATGTGACCGGAAGAAATAAGCGTCATGAAACTGTTTCCATGTTTTATCATTAAACATAATTTTCTATGTATCCTACAACTCATATGAAGCAAGTTATTCCAAATTATATTAATCATCCTTTTTGCTCCATGGAAGCGAACAGAGGGTCTCTTAATGTGGTAGGAAACCGGAGTACCTTGAGAAAACCCATGTGATCGGGAATGTTACCAAATACGTGTACCTTTTCCCGTCAAACCAGGTAATCGAACCCCAGCCATTTTGGTGAAATGCGAACACGTTATCCATTGCGTCATCCGACCATCCCATAATATTTCAGTCAAATTGAACATAAAAGTAGTTCTCGATTGGATTTGTAATCTTAGGCACCATCTTATGTCTGTATTTGTTGCGTTGGCGTAAAACCGTTGGTTGTCAGTGTCAGTATGTTAGCTGTGTAGAGTGGAATAAAGTATAAAATGGACAGATTTAACTCTGGGCTATCGGCCATGCTTTTTACCCATTGTATATATTTCCTGTGATAAGATCAGAAAACGTAATTACTAAGCAGAAGAATCGGACGAACTGGGCTACTGGTATGAACAGTTTTACATGTATCTCCAGGGCTACATCTTTTACTAATGGTTTCTAGGGACCGATTGACCCACTGACCTGATTATATCCTGTACTAATGTCCAAAACTGACCTTTTGAAATTGACCATATGTGTTCTGTGTATTCGTGTGTTCGTACCGATGTAGGTATCTCCAGTACATCTGGGATATTTCTCATTTCCCGGGAACACACAGCGAGATAGACACTTATGTTTGCAAATGAATGATTGTTATCATTCTTTGGAACCTAATATACATTTTATCCATAGAAACGGTCGTTATGACAAATGTTCTCTTCATGGACGGCTGATGGTAATCTCTCTGTGAGTATTAAAAATGGTGGATGACGAATCAGTTACGGGGCTGTTTCGACAATAAACTAACGTTTGGGGGTGCGTCTGCCCAACCATTATTAATACATAATGTATTTATATCTTGATTCATGTTATGAATTATGACAGTTAAGGATTGTGTGCCACTGCAAAAACCGTGGTTATAGATTGGAAGTGTTTTTACTGAATTGAAAATAGCTCGAATTTATCATTTCTGAAAAAAAACTTGCAAACCTTATATGATGAATAGTTAAAATGTAAAGTCATGGCAAAGAAGTTGGACGTAAGAGTCTTACAATTGTATAGATTTGAGACCGAGGAATGATACATAAATTTGTCTTGGCTTGTTCCAGCAGAAATGCATCGGTCGAACGCTGTAATTTCCAATGTTTTGGCATCGGCATTGCATTACTAAAAGATTCGGTCCGAGATAAAGCCGTGTTATACAAGAGGAAAGATCAATTGTTTTGTACTCGGAAGAATATTGGTACAGAATCTCATATGTATAGAAATATAGGAGCATACCGTAAGTAAAGCGCCATCGTCTATTCAATGCCGTGATAGCTGTTATGCAGATGGATGTCGGCAGCCTCCTTACTGCATACGAGACAGTGTTAAGAACAAAATAATGTCGATGAATTTCTAATGCATGCGAAACAGATGAAAAATCGGAATACAGCGTAGCGGTTCGAGTGCTACATTCCCCATTTGAGGGTCAGTTCGCATAGAAAAAAATGACGTCAGTAATTTTAGTTGAAATGAGTTTGGGAAACGGACAGATAAAAAAAAAGTTCAGCTCATCTCATTTTCTGAATGTTTGTATGTTAATTCAAATTTAAATGTTATTTATTCTCATCAATCAAGCATAACTTTGACACAGTAAATAACTAAAGATAAATAAGTCAGTAAGTATATTTATATATGCCCTAGTGAAGCAGGATTAATAAAAGGTTAAAACATATTTCTAGAGAGGTTCCGAATAATTAAACTATGTCAAGGGTATCGCGAGCACGAGAGGTTAACACGATATTTTCCCCTGACATGTGATGGATATTATCCAATCATACACGCGGTTATATAAATGAGATATAATAAAATATATCATTTGAAAAATTATTTAATCGGACATTGTGATTCATAGACAAAATGTCGAGTCTTTGATTTTTAAGAAAATTTACATTTTTAAACGACCTCGATCTCCCAGGTGTTCCTCATAGCATGGTGTCTGGTGTCCAAACCGAGTTTTGGTCATATGTGATTGCTTGTCCATTGAGACATTCTGACAGGCCATCTCGTCCTGAGAAAACTATTCCGTATCCGGAACAGGATTTTTCCGGATTATTGAGTCCGTTTAGTGATATAGAAATCCGTCCCTAGAATATACATACCAAATTAGTTCCTTGGAAATAATATTATGAAATGCATTTCCTCGAATCACAATGTAAGCAAATTATGATATTCTGGAAGCTGCGCATTGAAGTCATTTTATTTTTCACGTCATTTTTGTTTCGTTATACAGTATAAAACCCTTTTTTTCTATGCTTATGCTAATCTTCCATGGACTGTTGGATCGCTAATAAGCAAAACAAATATGCTGTTGAATAACAACACATTATTGAATTGATACTCTTTTCCTGGCCAAATTTACGCGAAAATGAACACACACCCTAATATGAGCAATACACAGTAAGTGACTGAATTTCGCCATCTTCGCAGTCTCCAAATATAGAGCAATATTGAATCTACACAGATTAAAAAAAATTCAATAACGAAAATGCAAAATAAACCTAAATAACCAAATACGAAAGTACCCTATTGAGGAAGTGTTGCGCGATATTTAATCCCTGGGAACTAGTTCCGATAAGGACAACCGCGAAATATTAACCCCTACGAAATTTGATAACTTTACAGGAAGTGGCCTGTTTTCAAAATCACTATTTGACATTATCTGTGGTTGATGTTCGACAGGAAAAGCTCCAAACCACGGAGCGGTCAAACCGGGCAATTGGGATGAACACTTGACATTTGTTTAATTACTAACAGAGATAGCAAGGAGAAATAGAAATTATTGATTTCGATATAAAGTATGTCCTTGGTGATTGGTTGAATCTTAACTGGTGTCTAGTCTAAAATACGAAATGTATCATTGTTAAATTTGTCATACATCATTATTTTACCACAATGCATGTATTGGAAATACAGTAACATGAATAGGTTTTTCCGATTTCCGAAGTAAGTACAAGTAACATGCAAAGTACATTCATCCGATACATCAATTGGCCTAATAGAATCTGTATTAGGGTTTTTTAATATCACTAAAAGCAAATACTTCTCTGCCAAGATCTTAACGGAAGCACGTGTGATTGATGTCAGGAAACGTGTGTGGAAACACGTGTTTCATTACGTTAACACACGTGTTTCGACACATTCATATTAATATGATTGACTCATATGCTTCTGTATCCTGCCCAAGTACACATGGTATACACATCATAGATATATATTCGCTAGCAATCTCGCTGTCTCTGATAAGTAAATGTCATCTATTTATCAGTATTTCCGCTTTTCCGAGATAATGACCCCGTGCACTATGGACCAGTGATAATTTATCGGGCACCTCTGTGTAGATTTTCTATGTACATATGTGTGCCAATTCAAAGTGGTCGTCTATATTGGGATTATAGCACGTATTTCATTCTTCACGCAGTTCGATTCCTTGTGGTGA